GTGAGGCAGCTGAGGAAGCAAAATCGAGTTTATTGCCAAGTAAATAAAAAAAAAATATACGACAAAGTCTACGAAGAATTCGTAAGCTGGTGCGATAAGACAGTGACATTAGCTTTACCACCAGCTCAATGACTTCATCGCCCGCCGGGCGGTAAAGTAGTCCGCGGGCGGTAAAGTGCTACTTTACGCCCGGTCGTGCATAAAAAAAATAATTAACATTTCCAATTGTAATGCATCAGGAAGACTCTAATACTATACAGGGTGAATCTGAAAGTGAGGTTTTTCGTTCAACAGGGTATATGTATATCTCGCAAAAATAAGTTTGGCCTAATGCTTCAACTAAGTAGTGTATTAATAGCCTTTTAATATACGAGTTGGTTACGAGTTGGTTACAACATATTTCCTGCATTGAAAAAAACTCCGAATTCGTTATTCATCCGAAAACTACTACGAATCACCCAGTAGCCTTGGTCAACTTATCAGTGACTTTTGAAATTTGTCGAAATAATAAACACGGAAAATGGAATCCTTGTGTTATAAAACAGTGATTGAAATGTGTTCGGAAACTTGGGAATTGATGAAATCCATATAAGTTATAGCATAAACAGTAAATAGACGCCTATAAAACAATCATGCATTAATACACAAATTGGTAATTAATAGGGGTCATTAGCGATCAATTTCATAAACATTCAACTCACTCGTTAATACGAGGTCATCGGAAAAAAAAATCCGTCGACTATATTTATTTTGTCCTGCAGAGGAGACAATTTGGTTCGCGAATTCATTATTCTTTCGGAAATGACACCCAGTATCTATGAAAGTCACATTTTCTCTGACCAGGATGAACAGAATATAACATTTCATCTGTTATACTTATATGTCTAAATTATCAATATGGAAAGTGCAAACCCGTTTGATGTAGAGTCGTCGTTGAAATCCTTGAGAGTTATTATCCCAACAGTGAAACGATGCGGTGAATGTTTGGTTGATGCCTATACTATAATCGTTCGTTGATATAGATATGTTGATCGTTAATAGGGATCATATGACAAATACGTGAAATACGTCACTTCACATCAAGGGACCCAAGGGATCATCAACGAACAATTTCGTGTACACTCGTTTTCAGAAAATATGTCGCGGTTGAACGGTGTAAGCACTTTTATCGCAACGGTGATTTAAAAAGCTATCTGCGACATGTTCTCTGATGACGAGAGTACATTAGTCAAATATGATGATACGAATTCGACAGAAAAATAATGTATGCACGACTGTGTCCTTTTATCGCCCAGATTCGCAGACGTAAAGTAGCACTTTAGCGGCGGTATAGTAGGTAATCGGGCAGTAAAGGAATTCACTGTTCCTGCAGTAATTTCTTTGCCAGCGGCAAACCTATACATAATTTGACCAAATGAATTCAAAATCAGTAAATAAATGTCCAAAACAGTCATGCCCAAAATGGACCTTGGCGTGACCTCACACGATACGTTCCATAAAATCCTATTTTATGTCCTTGATAAGCATTAATATCTATAGTACGTACGATGTGCCATTTGTAGATGAGACCGTTATTACTGTTGGGGTCAGAGCGCTGATGAACAAGCCTATCGGTATGATAGCAGCCAGTGCTTTGATGATTTTCTTCCAAGGATTCACTCCGTATCCACCATAGAAATCTTGGTGTGCCAAACCGCCGTATTCGTGTCCCCTGGGACCTTGGAAGTCGTAATAACCATGGTGCGGTGGAGCCTCAAGAAGATTATAATCAGAGAAGGTTTTTTGCTGATAACTCGGATTCCTGCTAGATTTGTCAACACCGAATCCTAGCATTTTGTCCCAGAAGCTTGGAGCTGACTTGGGGACGGTTTGGGGCACTTGAACGGGTTTATTGAAAGCAAAACTTTCTGTGGTCACTGATGGAAAATCTCGGTTGTGAACGAACTGGTACGGTATTCCGTCTGCATTTGGTAATGTCACTCCATTATTGATCCATGGTGATACTGTCGTAGTTTTTTCTGTCCTTTGGTATTCTTTGGGGTTCTCTGTCCATATGTTGTAGTCGTAAGGATTTTGTATGCTTTGCTTCTCCATCCAGGTTGGAACGCTGGAAGGCTTATCGGGCCAACGGACGTTTTGATTTTCTGGTAAATAAGAATCAAAAGTTTTGGCTTCAGGATAGGCAGGTTTCACAGGAAAGCTGTTGTGTTCGTAGTAGCTTCCCAGATGTGGGCTGGGTTTGAAATCTTTGAGCCTGTTATCATATTCTGTTCGATTCCCTGATACGGAAAAGTTTTTTTCCAACTTCCTTTCCATCTCTTCCATTGGTTGTGTGATCCTTTGCATATCTATCATCAAGGTATGGTTATCATTAGACACTGATTCATCGAGTTTATCTGATTTAGTTTCATTCACAGTTTGGGATTGAAAGTTTTTAATTATTGTGTCTTGCTGTTCACTATTTATTATCACACTTTGTAGGCAGAAAATCAACAGCAGTGGAAACATTTTTGCTTCTTATGACAAATCTGAAATGAGACGTGTGTTTTTTCATTCTGTTATATTTATAATCTCTTGAAACAATGTAACAATGAAATTACGTGACAAAATCGGAAAAACGGCCTATTGTGTTCAAGATTCCGCGTCGAAGAAAGTTATTTAATACGATTGAAATCTTTTACATGCTCTGAAAAATTCAGTTAGAAGGAACATCATGGTTTGACAATCATAGAAATGGAAAAGTTGAACATGCAATCTTATTTAATCCATTCTGAATGGTTCGACCTGGTATCTATATCCCATGAGATCTAGATGCATGGCGATACAGAAGAGACTTCCTCTGATGATTTAAAACAATGTTTTCCAATATTATAATGGGTATATCCAGAGATTATACACACTAATCTCTGGTTCACATAATAAGTCAGAGAAGAGCAACTTTACAGGACGACCAGGAATATAATAAGAAAAATTCAAGACGGCGTCTAAAAATCGTACAGAGAACATGATCTTTAATTTTTTTTAGAGAATATCAGCACATAGTCCTGAGGTCAAAATAAGTCGATGTAAAGCAACTTACCTCAATCCGAAATTGCTCCGTTTCCGAGATACAGGGTGGTTAATTTAAAAAATAAATCGACGAGTAGGTACTCTCCAAAAGAGAATTCTGAAAAATGCATTGTTGCACTGACCAAATTGCATCGTCGAAGATAACAGCAATAATTTTAAATTTCCATTGCAGCATCGAACACCATGCAAAAACTAAAATATCTCAAAAACTGCTTACTTCAGCGAATTTTTGCAAGTGTACCTTCGTTGCTTGGAAATATTCAGAAAATAATTTCTTCAGCAGGACAAAGTGGAAAACAAGTTATTGCAATTCTTGAAGTTAAGAAAATAAAGCGATTTCGAACAAAAGTAAGCTGCTTTGGATCGGTTTATCGTGACCTGAGCAATATGTGCTGAGATTTTGTACAGGGTGATTCACCATAAATGTCCCCCTCTCTAGCTCAGTTATTTTTGAACCGATTGCAAAATTTTGAATATCATCTAAAATGATTTTCGATAGAGTTTTTTTCCGCTACATCAGAAAATACATGGTGCTCGAAACAAACGATCTACAGGGTACTATTTAATTTTTTCAATGGAACACCCTATTTCTCATTGTATTTCAAGATTTTCCCTGAAGAGCTGATTTCATCAATGTAACACATTTGGGGTCTAGCGAAAATGATTACAGAGATATAGGGTGTTCGAAATAATCGAGATTTTTCAACTTTAGAATTTTTCTGTGACGAAACTATTCATTATAGGTCAAAAAGGCTTTCATGTCCATATCTTAACTTTCTATTTACTATCTATTGACATTTGATAATTGGAACAGATACAGAGGGTAATCAGAATTCTGAATCTTGAACCACACTGTAAATGTCCCAATTGAATGTCAGTAGATAGAAAATCAAAAGTTGAGATAGAGACATTGAAGCCATTTTGACCAATAATGAATAATTTCGACACAAAAAAATACTAAAGTTGAAAAATTTCGGTTTTGAACACCCTATATCTCTGTAATAATTCACGCTAGACCTCAAGTGACCCCAATGAAATACAGGGTGTTTTATTTGAAAAAATCAAGTAGTACTCTGTAGATCGTTTGTTCCGAGCACCCGGTATTTTCTGATGCAACGGGGAAAACATTTCTGAAAAATCATTTTTGATGATCTTTCAAATTTTTGAATCGGTTTCAAACTTTTTCCCGTCACAGAAAAATAGAATTTATTCATCAAAAATGCAGCCACTGATGCAGTCTCTGTTTACTGACGATACGACGATACTATCAACGGCACCTTTCGTTGGATATGAGAACTAAAATTTCTCATGGTCATTGCGCGATGAAAATTCCTGTACTCATCTATTGGGTAAATGTCGAACTAAAATTACTACGGTTGTTTGATGATTTTAATAGTCTGTTGTAGGACCATTATGTTAAATTTGAGCAGACAAGAATCAAAAATGCTGGCAAAGATTCCGTAAAATTACCTAATTTTCAAACTCATCCATTAGAATGAAATAGCAATGTCATGGAATGAAATATAGATTCCTAAAAACAGAAATTTATTAGTGACATAGCATTCAAATCACTTTGTGTTTCTTCTTCTCCTTTTATTTTTCTTGGAAAATGGCACTGAGACTGAGAGAGTAACAAACCTTAATTTGTGGTGTTAGATGTTTACTGAGATGTTCATAATTATTTATACTGTGTTTTATGAGAGTCCTTTACAATTTTACATATCCTTTGCTTTTTACGTATGAGTCATACGACATTGACATCTCATCCTATCGTTAAAGTTAAAGTGAGTGTCGCTATAATCGTGTCACTGTCATACTTGTCACATGTCACATTATAGATTCTTGACAAATTGTCGAGGTTCTTGCAAGGTTCCTGCAATTCTTGAGATTCTTGATAACAATTGACATTTGCATTTGACTTTACAATTATGTCATATCTTTTAAATCCAAATCTGACAAGGTTGTCCAAATCCTAATTTCAATTTGTTTAAATATTTTTCTATTATCCATTCATCAAAAAAAATAGACAATATCAGAAGTACGAATCTAGCGATATACTCTTCAATAGAATCAGCATCAAAATGGACTCAAAGTTAGAAGTATGTATAATGAAATAATAATAATTTTCTTCCAAAAGCCCTTGTATTTTTTTCAGTTATTTGATGATGTTGATGGCTATGTGGATGGAGAAATGAATGTACCAAAAACCCAAAATAATGATCAAATTGGACAGCCAGATTTTAATACCTTAAATGAACCCATAAGAGACACAATTGTAAGTTCATACAATGGAAATGATATGGAAACCTAGTACAACAATTTGTCTTGATTACTTTTAGTTCAGAGATTTGAAAGCAGTAGGAATAAAGTTTGCACATGTATTGTATCCCAAAGAGAAAAGGGCTCTATTGAAAGAATGTAAGTTTTCTGAGAAATGGATAATAGTTATTATATTTGCTACTCTCAATATTTTCAGGGGATTTATGGGGTCCTTTAGTACTTTGTACATTTATGGCAATGTGAGTTTATTTTCAAAAACATTTCAAGAAGTTACCTACTAAATGATTTTATTTTGGTTGCAGGATTCTACAAGGATCTAGTTCTGCAGACAATTCACATGATGGGGGCCCTGAATTTGCACAAGTGTTTGTAATAGTTTGGATAGGGTCAATGGTCGTCACATTGAATTCAAAACTCCTGGGTGGAAATATGTGAGTTGGTCTTTGGGTGTACAACCTAAACAGTTTAAATATACCCAGATATTGATTCTTGTTCTAGATCAATTTTTCAAAGCATATGTGTCCTGGGATATTGTTTGTTACCAACAACTATTGCACTTATAATTTGTAGAATAATATTACTGGCAGTGCAAACAAATTTATTGTTTTTCATTCGTTTCACTGTCTCAATGGCTGGATTTTTATGGGCAACATATGGTAAGTAGATACTCCATTGAAGTAATAATAAGTAGACAGAATGAAGAAAAATTGTGTTTCTCATTATTTTGCAGCCTCAATGGTATTTCTGGGGGACAGCCAGAAACCAAACAGGAAACTACTAGCTGTGTATCCCATAGGATTGTTCTATTTTATAATCTCCTGGCTGGTTATTTCTCATACAAACACCTAATATGTCAATATGTACTTGTATCAGGGTTTGTGTTGTATAGTACTGATTCAAATGCTATTTGTGATAATGAAAAAAACATTTAGATTGTCTGCATATTGTACTTGAAATTACCTCTACTTATAGATAATTTATACATGATTACCTATAATTCAGTAAAAATTAATTTTTCTGTGGACCTCGTATTAATGACTAAGTTTAATGTATATGAAATCGTTCATTAATGACCCATATTAATGAATGATTTGTCTATTAATGCATGATTGTTTTATAGGCAACCATACATACACCACGTGCATTCATTGTTTATGCTATAACTTACGGAATCTACATTTAAATCGAAAATATGGATTTTCCCTTTCCAAGTTTCTGACACGATTTTAATCCCTGTTTTCTAACACAAGGAATTTTTTTTTCCTCCGATTGGCAGCAAATATTAATTTTGCTGACACATATCAATCAGCAAAGTATTACTTTTCCTGCCTAGGCAGCAAAGTGGGTACTTTGCTGATTGATATGTATCAGCAAAATTAAAAATCCATAAATCGTTTATAATTTCCTTCAAATTTCATCCAAGACTTCTCCGACAACAAATTCAACTCTATATTTTTTGCCACCTCCCTTCGTTATTAATGGAGGTATACTTCCAGGTCGCTATCACTGTCCATTATAATATAATAATTTAAATATACCGATATTGTTTCGCACAACTGTCAGAAATTTCATGAATTGTCAAACCAACAACTGCGATTTCTATCAAATTTTATTTTAATTGAACACTATACAGGAAGAATAAAGAGATTGTGGGAATTGTATTAATTCACAAACACAATATTCTCCCATATCATTATGAATAATCGGAGAAAAAATCATATGTTCAACTCGGCAGCACAGTAGATTGACTGCCGTGGCTGAATTCATAGCCGAGCGTAGCGAGGCTAGGAATCCAGCAAAGGCAGTCTACTACTTTGCTGCCTAGTTAAACAAATAACTATTATATTATGTTGATCATTTCGACAAATGTCAAATGTCAGTAACAAGCTACTGGGTGATTCTTAGCAGTTACCGGATGAATGATGCATTCGCGAACCAAGTTTTCTTCATTGAAGGAGAAATGAGAAATATAGTCGACGTAAAAATTTTGTAACCAACTTGTATATTAAAAGGCGATTAATGATCTCGAACATTAACGCGCTCGCTTCGCTTGCAAGTTAAAATATCTCGATCATTAATCGCCCTCATTAATACACTAGTTGGTTAAATAACTATTGAACAAATGAATCAAATGATCATAACTTTGTCTAGTTTTTTGCATATATAATTTCTGTATGTATGCAACTACAGATCAGGGTGTGCATTGCTTGTTGCATACACTCACATACCATAAATCTTTCCGAATAGCCAAATGTAAACAAAAATTCCAGCCAAACACAAACACAGCTGGCCAGTGGCCTGGCACTCCACCAGATAAAAATTCGATAAGGTATTTAAAATTATATTCTTTGCTTGTGGCTTGCTGTTCATCAGTTCTTATTTGATGATCATGTTAATTCCCTTGAGTGAGTGTTATCATTGGGTTTGTTGAAGATCAGTGGTCAGGGAAAATGTGTATTTTGTTGAGAGCCTATATCTTTATTTGTATATTGTTTGTTAGTATTTGTGCTTTGCAGTGCATGGATGAGAGCAATAATCCAGTAGATTGGTAAGGTCATCTCATGCAGTGTTCTGGACATTATTATACTCATTATTCTTGTTTCTCTTGTAGGTTTGTAGTTTATAAATTACCAACACTAAAACATGATGAAAAATTGATGAAAGATGGGGTAGCTTATCTCTATATGACTTCCATGGATTACAGTACTTGGAAATTATCTAATAATTCTATCAACAGTACAGATAGTATTATTGGAAATACATTGAGAAACCTTTATACCAATGAAGTGAGTATGTTATTAAAACATTATGCTAAGTGGAATCTTGTGGAATTCATGTTAAACTGCTTACTATTTAATTTTAGACAAATCTCATGTATATTTTATATAATAATGAACCTCCAAATCAAAAAACTTGCTCAAATAAAGGTCATACTAAAGGGGTAGTTGTTGGAGAGCATAGTGGTGGATACTGGTTAGTGCATTCTGTTCCTCATTTTCCAGAACTGGGGAAAAAATATACTTTTCCAAGAAGTGGTGCTGTTTATGGCCAAAGTTTTCTATGTATCTCACTGGATTTGAAGAATTTAAATACTGTAGGTAGGTATATGTACAAGCCATGTACAAGCAATCATATCAAGAGGTTGATGAGTTTTACATGGTTTGACTACCTATACTCATCAATTTTTCTTATTTTCAGGTGTTCAACTGCAATACAATGAACCCAAAATATATGGTGAAAACATATTGTCAAACCTAAGATCATACCTTCCTGACTTAGCAAATGCAGCTTCAAATGTTACAATAAAAAATCCCCCTTGGTATAGTATAGCCAGACTCACTTCAAAAAATGGTGTACAATTCACTTCTTTTGCAAAAACTGAAAATTTTGAGAAAGAACTCTATGAAGATTTGGTAGCCCCTTCTTTGGAATCTGATATGGTAGTGGAAACTTGGCCAAATGGGCCAGGAAGATTGAAATCAAACTGTACAAAGACATTCAAGTAAGTGAATTATTGTCAGTATACATTTGTGTGATGGCCTTATTTTTCAGAGTTTTCAATGTGAAATCAATATTCATGAACATAGCAAATGTATCATTCACTACAACAGATGATCATTCAAAGTGGGGAGTATCTTCAGTTGTATCTGAGAATAATTGGATTTGTATTGGAGACATTAACAGAGCAGTTAGTATTGACCCAATAAAATGTTCATGAACTGTGATTTTTTGATCTCATCATTTCAGAAGCATCAACTACTCAGAGGAGGTGGAACAGTTTGTCAAAAAAATAAACAAATTGCCAAAAACTATCAAAAGTTAGTTCAATTTGTTGAAGACTGTGAAACAAATCAAGTTTAGCCATATCTTCTGTGTTATATTGATTTCATAATAAGTTGATTTATTCAGCCTACCTTTGAATACAAACAATAAATAATATACCTACAATCAATGAGAATATTTCTATTTGGTAGGGAAGTAAGGTGTTTCTGTGGAAGGTTGTGGACAACGGTACTTCAACATTTCAATTTCAGCTTCAAAATAACTGTTTTTATCATAACAGAAGTATTCTGGGTTTTTATATCCCCTATTTTTCGCAGCTCCAGGACCAACAGGTTCACTAGGAACCTTGAATAAAATAAATTAAGGTAAAAAATCTCCTATGGTATCTACCCTGACCATCACCTTCACACAAGCCTCAGAAAGCCCTTGGACACTTTGTAAAGGAGTAGAGGTATCACTTTGCTTGTTGTAGATTATTTTGCCTGCTGTAAAACTACGTTTTACTAAACTAAAGTTACGAATTTGTTTGGAAAAGATAGCTCCGGACAACATTTTTCAAGTCAACGTTTTGACAGTTACATAACCAATACATAACACTCGTAACAGTCGTAACATAAACGTCTTCTTCTTCACTTCTGTTATGTTTCTGTTGTCATATGACATACAGTCAAATCCAATTTTTTTTTACATAATATGGGTTTGCATCGAGAATAGAAATCGAGATGGAGATTTTTATCGTGATTTTGGGATCTGTAGTTTCTGTGAATAATATTAATTATTAATCTAGACTGTTCATGGATTTTTTCATGCTACTGTAATGCAAAGCGTGATATAGGAATAGGTAGGGTCCCTTGATGAAAATTGACGTTAAAGTCATCTTAACAGGGTACGGACAGATCATAGCTGCATTCTTTTTTAATGATCTAGAGACTTTAGTTTTGTCTACTGGCATCACTGACATTGCTGTCACGTCACATCCATGTGCGCTACAGAAAATCATTCAAAATTTCAATAATAGGTATGTACAGGGTGTTTACTTGTTGAAGATCATATGGCGAACGAGTTTTGTAATTATGATCCGATTCTATTCAAAATTGGGAGATATCTGGCGTTTTCTGGGGTTGGAGATAATGATTGTTTCGTCAATCCAATATACAGGCTGATTCACGGTGGATGGCACATTAGACGTTTCTGGAAAACGCAACTCAGGATTATTCTGAAAAGTTGGTGCCTTGAATAATTAGTTGTGTTCTATCGACCTGAAATATTCTCAGCGCTGCCACCGTGAATCAACCCGTATAGCGAAAGAAATGATCTGATTCTATTTAAGATTGGTATCTGGGAGTTTTCGGGGTCGAACTTTATGATTTTTTGTCAAAATTGAGAAATTCAAGATAGCGGATCCTATATGGCGAACGAATTTTGTAATTATGATCCGATTCTATTCAAAAATCAAAATTGGTAATGGAGATTCGATTCTATTCAAAATTGGTATCTGGGGGTTTCCGGGGTAGGATGGCGGATTCGATATGGCGAAAGACATTAGTTAATATGATTATTACTCTACCACAAATAGAAAATATATAGGATGCAAGAGTGAAAATAACGTGACTATAAGTTATACTGCGTATACCTACATCTTTGTTACTTTTATCAATCAATTGTTCGAAAATGACTTTTAATTTGAGGGAGACGGAAAAATCATATGTATAACATATGGGGGTAAAGTACATTCTATTCTTTATTTTCCTGCATATTTTACGTATTATTTTTTATCAGCCTAATTTTCGTCCTAGACAAAGTTTTATACATGATATACGTGATATTAGTCACTCCATAAATTCTTCACCGAGCTGGATTTCCAAAAATATAATGAGCACACATGAATAAGTACAGTAGTTTCGGTTTCCATCATTTCTCAATCATAAGGCTCAGCTCATTAAGCTGATAGATAAACTTCTGCTCAGCTTGAAATCAGAATTCATTCAGTCAATTCAGTCAACCCTAGTATACAGTCTAAGAACAGTATCTCTTAGTGAAATATATTAAGCTTTTAGTACAATTTATATGTTCCCTACCTCGCAAAGATTATGCTGGAGTAGTAAACTCTAAATCTAGAGGACTGTTCATCTATATCTTGGTATAGTTGAATCGGGAATTCCATATGGAAATTACGTATGATACGCCAGTGACCTCAATATAACCTAAAAAACAACGAATGTCAAAAATCTAGTGTTTTTCCCTAGAATTGAATAAGGATGGGACTATATAACTGTTTCACAAACACTTTAGAGTGAGAGGAGACGAGGATCTGTCCGTACCCTGTTAGGATGACTTAAACGTCAATTTCCATCAAGGGACCCTAGGAATAGGCTTATATTGCGTCTGGTTTCGGTTAAAGTTTTATACTGTTTTCTTGAAGGTATTTTATTAGTCTGGTAGTGAGAGTGGATTGAGGTCTCCGTACTGACCACAGGTGCATAGTGCATCATTTTTTATGCCTATCTTATGCAGACGCTGTGGAGTTAGGCAGTGTTGTGATATCATTGTTGACTACAATTGTGGTTTATTTACGGAATGCAAGGGTCTTTGAATTCTGTGGGACTGCTGGTCTGACATGCTGACGAAAGATGATGTAGACATTTTCACTCTATTAGCAGTATTGGCTTCTATAGTGAGTCTCTAGGCATCTTATTCTATAACAGAAATGACAGAAGGAATTCTAATGAGAAATTACAAAATTTTATAGACAACTATGTGAGATCACTATTTACCAGAAAAATAATATTCTTTCGTCTCTCGCTGCATTTTTTGTGCATTATACAACAGCATTTAACAGAACAATGATTGTGTTTCAATGTTTCACAGAAAAGTCAGGTTGTGTTTTAATGTTTTACCTCCAGGGTCACGCGACCTATTTCATATTTACGGAATACGGAACGGTTAAAACCGAAATAACCATAACCAAGTTGATTTACGGAACATATCAATATGGGAGCTAAAGATGGCCATCTTATTGGGAATTGGGAGCATCATTCATTCATTTATTGAGCATTCGCTCATTGAATGTGATTTGTGATTCCCTTGTGAAAATAGAAAGATGAATTTTAATTTTTAATCTTATAATTTCTGTTTCATTTGTCATTGGATCAAATTGAATATGGATCCATGAGAGAGAACTAAAAGTAGGCACCTTTGTGACTTGGTATTTGAATATTTTCACTGATAGTTTTGTGTGAGGTTTTGTGTGTAGTGTGTTCGGAATTTTTATTTTTTGTGCCAGCCGCCAGGTAAGAAATTCATAATAAAGTACTGTTTTCAACTTTGTTATAAAAGTTTCAAAAATTTCAGATTTCAAATAATATCTACACCCTTCCCTAGTTCACCTACTTCAAGTTCAATATGCCGCCGAAAAAGAAACAAACCCCTAAGAATGCTTTCTTTTATTTCATGATGGAATTCAAAGATAAGCATGGCAAAAAATATAATAGCATGCAAGAAGTATCAGATGCAGCTGGGCCCCATTGGAGCGTAAGTGTCTTCTACTCTGGGCTGTGTTAACATGAATGATCTATAAATAACATGTTTGTTACAGAACATGTCAAAGGAACAACGTAGACCTTATGAGCAAAAAGCTCTGATGGAAAAAAACCATGTAAAGCCTGTTAAACTCACATCAGAGGGTCTGGATATCGAAGAACTGGAAATGATGGAAAAGCAAGAGCAAATGAAAATACAAGAAATGAAAGATGAAATCAATTACACATTGAATATGTCAAATAAAAATGGTAGGATCAAGGATGAGCTGTTCTTCATCATCCACATCAATCACTTTTGTTATTGTGAATCAGAAGGCAGATACTATCCTGCTGAAATTGCTATATCATGCTTCAGTTTGGAGGATGGGGTTTTGCCTCAGAATGTATTTCACAGGTGCATCCAGCCAGGTAGATATATTTCAGGCATTGGTTCCTCTTCAATGAACTTTTTTATTTTGCTAGGGATGTTACCTAGGGGTTATGCTCATGATGCAAATCTAAGGTCTAAAGAGTCCCACCAGTTGCCACCACCAATGTATGGAGAAAATGAAAATAACATGGAGGAGGTTTATATGGAAATGAAGCATTTTTTGCAGACCAAACTGTCTGGTTCTAAACGCATGCCAGTTCTCTATGCTGATGAAAAAATGGTGAAAATGGTGCAACATGTATTGGACATGTGGTGCTATGATTTCCATGAGCAGAAACCTCTTTTCAAGGTTTTCAACTTGCAGTACATGTTCAGATTGTTGAGAAACATTGTGGCAGGTTATAATGTCTGGGTCACTGACACTTACAGTGCAAGGGAGATAGAAAAGGATGTTTATGCTTATACTGGTGGGTTAAGCTGTGAGGTGAGTATTCAGAATATTCTTCACTCTAGTCATAGTCATACTCATATTTATTAATCCAATTGATCACAGTGGGAGGCTATTTAACTCTATAAGGTTGCCTCATATTCACCTGGCCTGACGTCACTGTTTCCCCAGTGGTCTTTTGTTGAACGGCAAAATGAAAATGGCGGAGGTGATAAACAAAATAAACAAATTTAGCATTGTGCAATCCAGTGAATTCTGATAAATTTTGAAGTTTTCCAATATGTATTTGTATCCACGAGATAGTTCACTGTTTTCACAAAACATGCAGCAAGTACAAAAGACTGAAAACAGAAATTCAGCCTCTCAAAACTCTTCAAAATAAAATTATCAAATGTATATACAGACTAAATTATTCGGAACCTACTATGAACCTTTACAGAAGAAGAGAATTATTAGATATAGATTCACTATATAAATTCAAATTAATGTCCTTCATTCATTCAGTTAAACATTGTCAAAAGCATTCAAATTTGGTTTTCCAAGTCAATAGTAATCACCACAACCATACAACCAGACAAGCAGATCATTTTTCTGTCAAGAAAATTAGATCAGATATTGGTAAAAAATCCATCTATCACAATGGAATGATACAATACAATTCACTACCAAATAACTTGAAGCTGATTAATAGGATTGACAAATTTAAAAGAGAATTCAAGAAACATCTACTCCTGTAATATTGACATCTTATCTCATTTTTATAGTTTTCTTGTACAACTACTATAGTTTTCAATTGTGTACCTAACAGCTGAGTCAATTGAGGATCATTTCCATTTGAACTTGAAAAAAAAAAAAGATTCTTTTTGAGTGTGAGTCTTATTTTACTGTCTTCTTTATTTTATTTTGTCAAATATATTTATGTATTCACTATGTTCCCTGCTATAAACAAATGTTGTTTCTTGGGAATAATAAAGTTGATTGATTGATATGTTATGTTCCTCAGTGCTCCTGTTGTACGGACAAATTATAGAAACTCAAGTCAGATTCTTATTGCAATATCACTCCATCAGGACTGATTACTGTTGGCATTTAAGGATATGGAGGTTGAGCTACTGATGAAGCATTTTTTAATAAAGAAAATGTTATTGGGAAGGCTGAACCTAATGATGGATTCATGGTGGATAAGGGCATCATTTCTGAGAAACAAGAAACAATTAACTAAAGAGAATTTCCTTCTGGATAAATTGAACGATTCTAACTCAATTGTTTTATTTCAGTATCAATTTGGAACATATTATTGTTTGAAAATGAAATAATAAGGAAATGAATCAATAAAGAAGTCATCACAATTCTTTCCATTTTATTAATGCAATAAAAGTGCAACATAATGGAAATATCTTTGAGATATCTTCCTCATAAGATTAACACAAAATGTTTCATAAAATTAACTAAAATTTCTATGTAAGTTTTGGAGGAAGATGAGTTATACAGGAAAATTAGTTTCAATGTATGTATGCTGTTTCTTTCAAGTTCATTAGGAACATTTTAGGGCCATTATTTCCAACTGAATTTATCCATAATAAGTGTGTCTCTCTAACAACTTCACATTTTTTATACCATCTCCTACTCGATCTCCTATCAAGAAATGGCATTGTTCCACAAAATGTCCTGGACCTTTTCCTAAAATTTTGAGAAAATAATTCAAGCTGAATGTTATACACATTATTTAACAAACCTCTATGTAAGGACCTCAGTAAGGACACTTATTTCAATTATTTCCATGGTCTTCCTTCCTGAAAAATAATTTCATATGGAGAAAATCCTAACCATGGAAAATATTGGGACACAAATTTGTTTGCATGATTTGAAATTCAATATTATTTTCAATGAACATTTTGAAAGAGCTTTGGATTCATATTCAACTCCATGCTGAACAAATTTATTTGAAAAATCCTATGGAAAGAAGTTGATTGCCTTTTTCCCAAATACTCCTTGCCACATGTAAAAATGAAGTAGCAAGTATAGCCCAAAATAATTCAAAATCAATGTAAGTATACTGTTTTCATGATATGGTATGATAAAATTAACCTGAATTATATAAAAGGAGAACTATTGAAATGGTTTTGCTGTATAATAGATCTTTGATTGATCTATCTTTTTTTATTTTCACCACTTCTCTGTGTTATATATGCAGCTTCACATATTCCAAGTCTTCATTCCTAAAATTTCATGTATTTTTTACCTGTGTGTGATAGATTGTCAATATAAGTCCCTATAAAATCACAACCACTTATATTGTAATATGGTAGTACCAATTCTATATAATTTATTCAATAATATTATATGCTAAAGGCAATCATCTTTTAAGTTGACTAATTTGTATGAATAATATAAATTGTGTGCAATTTTCTTATTTTGGTGTTCAATATTTTTTTTGCAGATTCATGAAGTTTCTGATGTAGTGGTGCATTGCAGTAGATCCATTGTGATCAGATATGCATACATAATCTGTGACAACTGCTGCCCTGATTTGCATATTGTGATGGTCCCAGGGACGCATGTGCCCGATACAGCTCTGATGCCTGGCCGATCGGCCAGTAGAGCCAATTCTATCTGTTCTGCTTCTTCTACCAGATCATCGGTGAGAATGATGAGAAATTTTATTTATCAGTTTCAGTATAGTCAGAAATAAGATGATTGCCCAGAATTCAGGATGAAATAATTTTTGTTATAGTATCAGATTGATTACTTCAATTATTGGCAGAAAGTTGTACAGGGTGTTCCAAATTGGTTATCTGCCATATGTATCTCTACCAATATTAGCACTATAAAAAAATAATCGAATATACATCCTCATCTGCTTTGTTTAAATAACTCCAGCAGCAGCAGCAAAATTCTGAGAAAATATAATTATTGATTCACAACTAATTTGATTAGTAATCATGTCAGAAGTTATATGTGTTGCAAATGGACATAATACCTATTTTGGTGAAGTGAGATTTACTACATTGATAAATATTGAATTAATTTGAGAATTGGGAAATATTTACTTGATGTTTCCTTAAATTGAAACAGGAAAATGTCTATGAGGTAAGTAGTGGCTAGACGAATATGCTGTCAAATGAAATGTTTGAATGTTCCATGAAATTGTAGGGTTTTCAAATGGTGTTTTTCGAAATATCTTAGTATATTGTCAACAAATAAACTATACATCAGTAATTGTATAATAATTATAAACAGTCAAAAATTGAATTATTTTTGCTTGAACCACTACCAAAGTTTTGAAATAATAAGGGAAATAATACACACAAGCAATTAAACCATTTCAAAACTTTGTACTTTCAATAAGTTCAATAGAAAAATAAAATCTTCTATCCCACCTTTTGTAAGATGAAATCCTCTGGGAACTGGACTAGCTGGCCTTGTTCGAGGGAGAAATGATCTAATGTTTTTGCAAGAACATGTTTCAATTGTGTCTTCTCACGCACAATTCTTGACTACTGAGAGCGAGAAAAATATGGACGTATCCAGAATGAATTGTTTTTCCGAGAACAAGTTGATTTTCATTCAATTCTCCTCCCAACCAAGATTTGATGGGCGTTCCAGATTTGGGTCACTTTCAAGAAAACTCTAGATCTTTGATAGCCATCTTGAGTCAATTCTGATATCCAGATCTCTTCATCTGATGTTCTATCTTCAAAATGAGCCTAAGATTTCCAAAATCGGTTGACGTGAAAAAAAAGTTATGGCTACAAAACCATTAAGTTGATTTTTTGAGATCACTCTGTAAATAAGAGAGATAGGAAGTTGATTCGCGAAATATCTGGAGGTAATGAGATCATCTTCATGCCTCTGTTGTCGAAGTTGAGAAAAACATTTTTTTCACCATTTGAGAGCCTTTTAAATATTCCGAAATTTCGCACAGTGTCGGACAACACCATGTAGAGATTTTATGTGAATACCCTTATGTTTCCATGAAATACGAGATTATAGCTGAAGGACTGGGCTATCGAACAGTGTGAACCAAATTCAAATTGTTCTAAACAGAAAAAAGTTATTCACATTTTAACAGGGGCGACATTTTGCTGTGCGACGAAATTAGTGTTGAGTAGTTTAGTTCCATTTAATACTGAAATATAACTTCTGTGAAGGTTTAAAACGTTTTGCCACTTATTCCCCATTTTTGATTTTAAACGCTGAAATGATTGGCCTAAAATGCATTGAATTTTAGACAATAAAGCTATCTATCTATCTATCTCTCTACTATTTTCCCGCTTACAGAAATTGCGTCCGTCGACGCGCGAAGACGACTCCGACTCGCTGGTCTCATTCTCGAGCCGCTCCGAGTGGGACAACTCCTCGGTGACGTCATCGTCGCACATGACGCTCGAGAGCGACGACCAGTTCCCGCTGCTGGGCGGCCGGGGGGGCAGGAACAAGCCGCCCTCGCCGCCCACCTCGTTCCACCACTACTCGCCCGACGAGAGCAGCGAAAAGTCCAGCGTGAAGAGCTATTCGGGAGCGACGGGCAGAGCGGGCATGAGCCAGAGGTCGATGGATTTGCGTAAGAGCGGCTGATTCTCTTTTTGGTTGCAGAAAATGGAACACAATTTCGTATAGATAATGTACTCAATAGCTATCTCACTTAATATTGTCGCAACTCAGATGAACCTTCACCACGTGTCGCAATTCAGACATCGCTTTAACTTCGTTGTATCAACCTAAGAGTACTCGCTTGGCTATTTTGCAAGAAGATTTTCAGTATTTCATCACCCAACCACATTCATTCTGAAATAAAGACAATTTTTTTCCAAAAGTACAACAAACAATTTATCCAATCATGAAAACATAAAAATGTGCCAAAAGGGCGGAACAGTAAAGAACAAACATGAAACGAGCGAACAACAAATACAAGATGATGGTTCTATGTTATGGGCAGCAGCACCAAAGTCGAGGAGATGTCACACCCCCAAATTGGCATAGTGCCACTGTTGAAGTGAGCAATCGATGAATGAGTGTTATATACTGATTTTAATATAATAATTGGTAGTGACGAATTGAATAATGATTGAACTAATAATGACCATGACTTATCGATTCGGGTTCTATTTATATTCGAAATCGATGCTTGATTCGCAATTTTCCGCAATGGGAATGGCCGTTAACTTGCGATACTGCTTACCTAGGTATTATCGCGCGGTAAGCGGTTTTTTTGCGAATTATAAAGGAACTGACATCTATGAACTCTGCTGACCTGATAGAAACTACAATGTACTGAATGTTTCAATTTGGAAAAGTTAATTTATGATAAAAGATCTTGAAATGAACGAGAGTTTGAGTGATGTTAATTCATAGGCATTTATACTTCTTGACAATATTGGTCCTACAAGGATGATCAAATCCCATAAGCCGCTGTTATTTTGTCATTATGACAGCGAAAAAACTTTGCCCTATGTTTTCCAGGGATACTCCAACTCATACACGGAAAACGCTATTTGACAACGAATTTTGACATTGATAAAAAAGGATGCACCCGAAAAACTGAGATAAGACAAAATTGCTCGACCTACGGTCTCGCAATTTTTTCATGTCAGTTATTCTCGTAAAATTACTGATCGGCAAATGTATTTCGTTACCAAGAGAAATTTTTCCGATAAAAAAAGCTCTTGTGTTTCACTGTTGACAAAACGGAACCTAACTTTTGAAACCATGACAACCATGATCAGTGACGGCTCGTCAGGGACGACAGGGTCGGCCGGGCCGTACCAGAAAATCTGAAGAAAAAAGCTGAACTATTTGATGAATTCAATTATATTTCAAAACTGTTTTCCATATTCATCGTTTTTTATGCTACTATTATGCCACTTTTATTGCCCTATGCCCTTATGCCCTACGACATCTGGTTATCCTATTCTAGGAGACTAGGTACCCCTTCCAAACTACCTAACCTAACCTACCTAACCTACCTAACCTACATAACCTACCTAACCTACCTAAATTTCCTAATCTACCTATGGGTTGCGTGCAAGAACTGTCAGATGACCGACACTGGAGACAAAATATTGAAACACAACGTCACTTTACTTATTTGTTTACAAGTGATTGAAATAGTTTTTCACAATTATTTTGGCATACGAATCGTATTTTTCCGCTATTAATCAATTCGCTCATGCCATCACATTATGCTGTTGTGAAATGCACAAAAACTGCAGCGGAAGAGGAAGTAATCCGGTTGGTACAATATGATTCAAAAGTAAGTACCTACTATAGTCACTCACATATAGTTTTCATTTTTGAAATTTGGTAATTTCTCTGATTTCTCATCGGAATTCTTTCTGCTATAGAAGATAATAGAAATACATCTGAAATTTATAAAATAATGCCAGAAAATTGGATTCATGCAATCAATCGGGAGGACTGGTCTGACATGCTGACGATCGTGTGTGTTGTAGACATTTTCAATCTATTAGCAGTATTAGCTTGTATTGCAGAAGTGACAGAAGGCAGAAGGAATTTTAATAAGGAATGACATGAACATTTCATAATGATAAATATGTGAGATTACTATTTACCTGAAAAATCATATTCTTTAGGCTCTTGCTGCATTTTTTGTGCATTGTACAACAGCACAATGCGAAGGCATGCTCGAATTAATGAATAGCGCAAAAAACACGATTCGTATGCCAAAATATTGTGAAAAACTATTTCAATCCTTTGATTTCTCTGTAACCAAGTAAAAAAGTGAGGTTGTGTTTCAATAATTCACAGAAGAATGAGGTTGTGTTTCAATATTTTGCCTCCAGGGTCGGTCATCGTGCACGCGACCTATTGGGGGAATCGAAAATTGGGCGAATCCAAAAAAGGGCGAATAGAAAATTGGGTCGAACGAGAAGTTCCCGTGGGGAACTAGTCGGCCAAGAGAACAGTGGGCGTGTCCCTCACTTTAGTAACAAATCATGTCGTTCCCCGCTACTTCTCTTGATAGATAGCAAGAGAAACAGGTACTCTGTTCCGTCTTCTCTCATAATGCACCGAAAAAAGCAGTGGAAAGTGACAATAGGTTTGTTCGCGTTCGAGAAATAAATAGTCCAAAACCATCAGAAGCATGCGCTGTTCCACGGACCTTGAAAAATGCGTACTGTTCTGTGAAATTGCGCATGCTCCTGATGACTTCGAACTGTTTATATTTTGAACGCCAACAAGCCTATTGTAAACATTTTATACCAAACCTTCTGTAGAGGGAATCGTTCTTTCGATTCAAAAATAAGGCCTTTGAAGTCGACTGGCCGATTGGAGGTGTCTTGTCTCTCGACGTATCTCCTGGTTCAAGTTGAAATTCTCGCTTATAAACGTCATATGGTACGGCCGAGCTTTGCTGGCCGAACGTTCCCTCCGCATAGAATGCTGTGCCCCTTATAGACCAATATTAACTGAGATAGCTATTGAGTAAAATATAAACAATCACCCTGTACAAATTCCTAAAAATGTATTCATTTCGAAAGTTGCCAAGCAGTTCATTTTTACAGCTTTTATAAACATTAGCTTTTCTCTTCCTGCCACATTTACGTAGGTACCATCAATGTCCACTCTTAAACAAACATCCGTTTCAAGTATGTATAAATATTGAATGAATTAATAAGTTGAATGGTTCTTTTCGTTTTCTTTCAGCGTCATCAGTGATGAAAAACGATGAGAAATATCAACCCAGTGCATCTCTACGTGAGTATCCAAGTTTTCTCTCTAGATCTTTTCACGCATAACTACATTCAGGATGTCCTAGAATTTCCTCAACATGCGATATCTTGGTTTAGTAGGTAAAAAGGTGAACAAAAAATATCCTTAATAATATCAACATGTGTGATAAAATATCACCCTCAACTTTTTTTTCAAACTGCAATGGGGCAAAGCAAAGGCTTGTGTAATGGGAAAATAGTTTTTGCTTCATATTTTCTCATCCAAAATAGTTTTTCGTCGACCACTACAAGAATTCATATTTTACGTTCTAATTTCCGAAAGAAAAACAGACTATTTCCGAAGGCAAATACTTTGATCTACTGATGTACTGAAATATATCATGACCTAACCTGAAATTTTTTTTGACATCTATTTATTATTATATTTAACGATATTGTTATTTATTTGTTATGTATTTTTGATGTTCATTTTCACTATTCGTTCCTGTTTTTTATACAGGGTGATTCAGGTTTTGAGGCACAAATTGTGATGGGAGATAGATCTCATCATTTCAATCGGATAAGTTCATAAAATAGTATATTGTGCAACAAGTGGGAAAAGTTCAACTTTTCTCACGAGTGTGGAAGTTTGTGGCACGAGCCTGAAAGGCGAGTGCCGCAAACACACGAGTGAGGAAAGTACTTTTCCCCACATGTTGCACACTATACTTTTTCTACGACTGCACATATTCAAAGAACAATGTAACTCAATTTTTATTTTTTATGGGTTATAGCAGAACTAAAATAACATAACATAATAACAAGTTTCCTACCTCTTAACAGTTGAATTATTCATTTGAAATTATAGTTAATTGTGAAATTCTTACAATTTTGTATGGTCAAACCAGGAAAGTCATTGTTTTTGAGTAAATTTTCTGTTATATTAATTGTAGAAGTAGAAGTTGAAGGTTGATTATTTATGTACAGTGGTGCATTTTCTGTCTCCATTTCAGTGAATAGTTCTACTGGTTTTTCAATAGAGTCGACGATTTTATTTGCAACGTCCATTTTATTTTTAATAGAGTCTCCGACGTATCCTTCTGCCACGGTACTGGATTGCCATCCTCCATGGCGCTTTAAGGTTAATATGTCACCTCCTGCATTTACTAAAATTGTTGCCGAAGAACGTCTGAAGCAGTGTCCTGTATATAAATGGGGATTTTCCAATTTTAAAAAAATTGCAATTCTCTTTGCCATACTACCAAATTTGTTGATGCCGACTACTTGTCTAGTACATTTTCCGTTCTGGTAATTCAAGAAGAAACGTTTTTCTGCCAAATCATTCGGTCGAAGAGCGGCATATTTTTTATATATATTATAAAATTCCCCCGTTACAGTGAAAGTTCTTGGCTTCTTTGTTTTGGTGTTATCTAATTTCACCAACAAAGCCGAATTTAGATCCTCTAAATCATCGACTTTTAATTTCCACAGTTCATCTCTACGACATGCCCCTGCTACGCCAATAGCCACTGCAACCTACAAATAAAAATATCAGGATGTAAAATCATTTATATAATTAATAGTAGATTGTTTTATTAGGATCAAAAGTGACACTTTGTTTGACAAGCGAATTTTGCATTTGCGAGGCGGAGCGTTTAGCGAAGCCGAGCGAAAGCAAAATTTGCGAGTCGAACAAAGTCACTTTTGATCCGAATGAAACATGCTATTTTTTCTGCAACCGAGACAATTAACTCAAATGAACATGTGAAGTAACCACCAATGCTGTGCCATATGTATGCAATGCAACAAATATTGACAAATAATCCATCTGGTGAGAATATTCTACCTGCATTAACAGCAGGTTAGGTTTTCAAGGATGTTCGAATTGTAATTTCAATATAAATACAACCATAGAGTGACATATTTGTGTATGGACCAGGTGCTCTAATGGCAAATACCGCGCCAGTGCCAGCTATTGGAACAAGACGTGGAAAATGTTAGGTTAGTGAGCATATCAACAACGATAATAGTGATTATTTATTCCTCTCCATACTACACTGTGTTTGACTTGATAATCAAATGAATCTAAACAATATCGTTGTTTCAGACAAAAAAAAAATTGCTTGCCGTGATTATTCAAAAACAAGTTATCCATCCCGAGAATAACGAATGAAACACAGATCAAGCAAGTATTTGAATCTTGAAGGCTTCTCTGATCAAAACGAAAATACTTAACTTAGATGTTTACAATTCCAATACTAAACTATTAGCGTTTTCCACTCGGGTCACTGGTGCGCACCCTGTCGCACTCAGTTTTACATTCATGTTCCACTGGCAAAATTTGTTTGCATTTTGCCAGTGCTGACAGCAGAGATTACGTTCCACTGGAAAATATTTTCACCCGCGGGGTGCACCGAGGGCAACTCTTTTGCACCGTGTTCAAGAGCTCGAGCGTCAGTCAAATTGCAAATGGAGGCGCGTAAAATTCAAATATTGATGGACCTTTTAGATAGTTCAAGCAGTTCCGATGGTGAGGATATTATGAGTTATTTGCTGAGGAACAAAGTATCCAAACCTAAAATTAAGGATTTCATTTCAGACGTGGTGCATAGATTTACAGATTTAGAGGTAAGTTTGATTTTCGATAGCTATACCAACTAGAGTCACTGAATGGTACTCTACCACCAACATCCTTATTAGGTTCTTTTTATGTCTAATATATTTTCCAGTTCAAAAAAAATTTTCGAGTAACAAGAAATACATGTTACCAGTTGATAAGTAAATTTGAAAACTCGAACTTTTATCCATCGATTAGGAATCACGGAGGAAGTGAACTGCACTCGGCTGAAACACATTTTTTAACATTTTTGTGGTGAGATTTATTCCATTATTAAACATATGGTTAGTAGTATATACCTATGAAATGTTGTAGGTTTGCAGGAAATAAGTGCTGTTTGCGTGATGTATCCCAGAGGTTTGGAATGGGACTAACATCTGCCTTCAGAATCATCGATAGGGTCATGAACTATCTCAACAGTATTGCTGCTGACATAATCAAATTTCCCGTAACTGATCAGGAAAAATCATCTCTAGCACGAGATTTTTACAAAGTAGGTATTATTAACTTTTCAATGAAATAATTCAAATTTGTTTTCAAGATAATTCTGTAATAATAAGCTATCGTTTCAATTTCAATATTCAAATGGGAAATTTCCAATTTTCGAGTAACTACCAAAATTTTAGTCTTTATTATCTGTACCAATTGTACCTATATTATGAGAGGAGAATGTAGGTGCCTATATGTATTTTATTTCCTCCATGCATTTTTGCAATTTCTCCGCCCCCACTTTTCCTTTCAAGGTTCAATATACAGTGTGTCCGTAAAGTAGGTATGGTATAAATTCGATATTCCTAAACTCAAAGTGTTTTCAAAAAAATCCGATCGAATTTCGACTAATTTTAACTTTGATGTTCTATATTTTATACCACAAAATTTCATTTTACAGGTTGATACACATTAAGAGGTGATGACGTCATCACATTATTGTGTATCACCAGAGATGTATCACCCTGTGTAATGAAATATTGTTATTGAAAATAGAACATTGGAATTGAAATAAGACGTGTTTAGGATTTTTTTGAAGAGGCTCGGGAAACGGACACATTGTAGATTGAAACATGTATAGAGACTATACTCTGAAAGTGCTACTTCAATTCAAAAAAGCTCATTGAGTTTCTGAAAAATCATCAAATTGTAACTTTGCATCTAAGCTATGTATATTACTCATGTCAAAAAAGGATGATTTCAATGATTTAGAGTAATGATTGTATTCAATAACTATATTCCAGACATCTTTATTTCAGGTATCAGGTTTTCCAAATGTGATTGGATGTATTGATGGTACATCCATACATGTGAGAACTCCTGCAAAAAAAGTAAAATTAACATATGTTAATCGACATGACATACCCTCGATTACTCTCCAGGGAATATGTGATAATAAAAGGAAATTCTTGGACGTTTTCATTGGTGCACCTGGAAAAATACATGATGCTCGTGTATACAAACTGTCTTTCATATCCAAGAAATTACCACAAATTTGTGGGAATACATATCACTTACTTGGAGACAGTGCTTATCCCATTCGAGAATGGATATTGACACCTTACAGAAATTATGACAATCTCACTGAAGATCAAATTTTTTATGGAAAGAAGTTTTCAGCTACAAGAGTGCTAATTGAAAACACCTTTGGGATACTGAAAGGAAGGTTACGTCAGTTACAAAGACTCGAATTACATAATGTCGACAAAATAACAAAATTCATTCTCGCTTGCTGTGTCATTCATAATATTTGCATAGAAAATGATGATTTTTTTGAAGAATGGACACCTGGCGTCCAAAGAAATGAAGTTAACAATGACATGGAACTTGGCAGAGATGCACTATTGAAACAAATGGGTGAAAATAAGAGAGATGTGATTAAGGAGTGGCTGACTAGATAATGGATATTCTTTGAGTTGAAATTAATAATTATGTATATCCCTGAAAGGTCTGTACAAAATGTTAGCACATATTTCTGAGATCAAAATAAGCCGATTTGAAGCAACTTAACTCAGTCCGAAATTGCTCTGTTTCCGAGATACAGGGTGGTGAAGACGTGAAGACACTCCAGGAAGGTATTTTGAAAAACCCATTTTTGTACTGCTTTAATTCACTCACCAAATTACATCCACGAAGATGAAAGCAAACTTTTTTATTCAAGATAATTTAAATATTTCATTGCTGCGTCGAACACTAAAAATTGAAATATCTGGAAACCGGCTAACTTTGGTGGATGTTCACAGGAGTATCTTTTTTGCTTGAAAATGTTCATTAAATTATTTCTTTAACGAACGAAGTAAGAAACTACACTGAGAAAAAAGTTATGACCATTCTAATCCATAAGAAGCGCCCTCTAATGGTCACATTGAAAAGGTGTTCGGCATCTCAAAAAACCCCTGGATATTAATTTTTGACGTAATACACGTGCCAAAATTCGATTTTCATTCTTCAACTTCACCACCCTGTAACTCGGAAACGGAGCAATTTCGGACTGAGGTAAGTGGCTTTGAATCGGCCCATTTTGACCTCAGGAATATGTGCTGAGATTGTGTGCAGACCTTCCAGGGACACCCTGTAGATAGAAAAATCGTATCAATTAGTTTTATGAAATGTTCAAGAGCCAAAATTAATATAATTTGTTTATAAAAATAAAAGTATATCTAACAAACTGCAATGAACATAATTTATTTTAATATTTGATTTGAACCATGAAGATGGATTTGAAAATCCATCACTAAATACAAATTCTTTAGGGAACACAATTCATCTGATTGTTACAAAAGTACCCTCATAACAACCCTCATAACTATACCTATACAGGGGTGCCCTACAGGTTGATTCAAACCTTTGAGGAGCCGACAGAAGATGCCTTTGGGAACATATTTGCACTTATACCTAAGCACAAAGTCTTGTGGCATTCTAGATAATCATCATTTTGGAATATTTGATGAAGTTTTGAACACATAATAGTGAATTTTTCTTTTTGTTTTTCTACTAATACGTTACAGTGATAAGTATTTCCTCTATTGAATAATAATTTCGTATCTGAATATAGTTCAAACTAGATGATCTTGTATGTCTTTGTACAGAGATAAATGTGGCTGAATTGGTTCCAAATGACATCTCCTGTTAGCTCCTATAAGGTTTGCACCGATCTGGAGGACACCCTGTATATCAAAAAAATATTTGGTCTGTGTAACAATTATTATCAAAAATTCCTTTAGTGTTAACTCAAGTAACTCAACATTTATTTATTTTGCTGTTCCAAAAACTTTTCCAGCATTTTCATTTTTTCTTTGTGTCTTCTTTCCCTAGCCTCTTCTTTCTGCTTGGAAATATCCATCAATACCTCCTGCACACTCTTTTCCCTTTTCCTTTTCAATGATTTTTGATCATTTCCTGGCTTTTCAGCCGTTTTCACATTTCTACTATCTCGTAGTACTTCGGGTTCAATGCTGTCATCAAGTGCAGCAATTTTTGCCAATTCTGCTTCGTATTCTACTGGTACTCGATTGCGTCCTGTCTGATTATTGTTATCTACAGCTTTTTTCTTTCTTTTCAATATTGTTTTATAGCGATTTTCACACTGAGTCGGTGTTTTTGTAATATTTAATATAGTCTTAATATCTTTGGATATCTGTTGCCACATATCCTTTTTTCTCTTGAATTTCTTCATCGGTCCTACGTGTTTCAAATAGGATTCATACTTGTCAAGCAGAAGTCTGGTCTCTGCTTCACACCATTCATTATCTAAAACAATTTACAACATTGAAAAGAGGATATTACCTGAATTTCTATTACCTGCTTACTTCCGTCTGACTTGTGACCCCTATTAGTGGGCCCAGCGATAAGGTTTTTTTCATCTAAAGATGTAATATTCTCGGTCTCGCATTCTTCTGTGTCTTCGAGTTGGGGGTCTTCGGTGTATTCAATCTCATTGCAGGAGTCATTACCATCAACGCAATGCGAATCGAGGTAATGTTGCTCAACTTTATCTAACGGTCCCATCAAACCGCATTCTCCGCATGTAGATAATGATGCAAATTCATTATTATCGGCGAAACAAGACATTTCATAGGATTAAAATAATTATATTAGATTGAGCTGACGTTATGTCAAAACTGCAGTGACGTATTGTGTGACTTGCACGCGTACATTACCTTACGTACATTGTACGTTCCACTGACATTGCTCTGGCATGATGCACGATGCCCGCACGAATTTCGAGCATGAGGTCTGCTGCTAGTGCTGCACCCTCAAAAGTCGCACGCAGTGTAGCCGAGTGGAAAACGCTATATAATAAGGTGTATTCATATCTCCAGCATGGGTATGAAATGCCAAATCTGCTGAAATCGGAAACAAATCAGGTATGCGTCTCAACCCAATTAACCAACCGTCACAATGTTGTTTATTCTTGATGACGTCCAGTACATCCTTTTTAGTTCCTAGGAGCTAAAGTTCAACTTTAGCTCCTAGGAACTAAAATTCAACTTTAGCTCCTAGGAACTAAATATGTTGCCTAGCAACATAACTATTTTTGTGTCAGTAATAGAAACGTCAATTTAAGAGCTAATTTTGGTATCAAAATGGACGACTTTTGTGTCGGTTGCAGAAAAAAAAATATATCATCCCTGGCCGGGTATTGAACCCCGGGCCGCTAGTATCCTAAGCGGAAGCACTACCACTACACCACGGAGTAGTTATTAAAATATTTATTCATAGGCATATACTCATCTTCCACAATATGAAATTGACTTTTTGAAGATTATCTAATTATTTTTACCTACTGAATACACCCACTAACTATAAAAAGCTGTTAATTCGAGGAAAAAAGCGGAAGAAATTCGAAAAATAGTTCAATTTAAATAATAAACCCACCTTTATTAGTAGATATTCCTTGTTTGGAGCTTCTTTTAAAAATCTCTGCAATTGGTCGGCTGTTAATATGTTTGATTTCTTTGGGAAGTAATTGTCAGACTTTCTTTTCAAAAATGCACGTAATTTTTGATACGTGGATATATCAATGTTATGTTTAATACTGATGGTACTTTTCAACATCGAATATTGTGACCAAAGTGTTGACGCCTTCAAAGTTTTCGACATTTCTTCGAAGTATACCAAAAGTACACTTTCCGAAAACGATTTTATTTTCGTATTTCTTCTCCATTCCATGAATTTCCCATATGCCAATTCATACTTCTTTCGGGAAATTTCCGGCAACAAATCTAATGTTACTTTTGCCGCTTGTTCCAATATTTCTGGTGGAGTATTGTCAAAATCGTCACTGCTTTCATAAGTTTCCATATTATTTACCTATCACTGGTACAAATATGTATATTATGTCTTACTAATATTCAATGAAATTGCGATTTTTTATCGAAACACGATTGATAACTACCTCAAAAATTGAAATAAATTCTGTTGACAGTTGTTCGTGACAACAGCGGCCAACTAAGTTTTTGTCGATTTTAGTTGATTCTCCATATAAAAGGTACCTACTATGCGTGGTGTTGGCAAAGTGCTGTGAGAAATCATATTTCTCACAGGTATGAGCAATTCGTGGTTTTGAAATTGAGTAAGCCATGAGAATTACGCTACTTTTCATAGCAGTCGTAGAAAAACATTAGTCCGATCTCGTCCAGAAGCGGAGCTACAGGGGGTCAAAGTTCAATAATTTTGTTCTATTAATTGAAATATCTCGCTTACTTCTCGAGATTTCATTTTGAAATTTGGTGTGGTCAATACTTCCTAGAAGATCATCATTTCAAGCTATTTGAAGATTCTCAAAATCTACAGGGTGATATGGTTTTCGTAGTACGCCTATGGCATCTTCTTGTGATCAAATTTTGTGAATCGTTCAATTTAGAGGTTTTTTGTACCTTAATTCTTTTCGAGAAACGAACAGTTTATCCAGTTTATCCTCCCCCCAAACTTTTTAGTCGTACACCTCTGGCATCTTCCACTGATCAAATTGTGTGGGTCGTTCAATTTGGAGGCTTTTTTGCTTCCTGATTCTTTTCGAGAAAACGAACCGTTTTTGAGATAAATGAGCATATACGTTCTAAGACATGTTAATTTTGCCTATGTTTCGCTTGAATTTCATTCTTTGACAAAATTCGTTGAGAATACAATGAAATGTACTCACTAAAATTGCAATCACTAGTCCAATCTGGATCAGTTACGGAAATACGGAGGGTAGAAAGTCGAGGTTTTTTTTCAGTTGAATGAAATTTAAGCGAAACATAGGCAAAATTAACATGTTTCAGAACGTATATGCTCAATTATCTCAAAAACAGTTCGTTTCTCGAAAAGAATTAAGGAACAAAAAAGCCTCTAAATTGAACGATTCACACAATTTAATCACAAGAAGATGCCAGAGGCGTACTACGAAAAAGTTTGGGGGGATAAAGAAGCCTCTACCCCCAAAACCGTATCACCCTGTAGATTTTGAAAATCTTAAAATGGCTTGAAATGATGCTTTTCTAAATAGTATCGGCCACACCAAATTTTAAAATGGTATCTTGAAAAGTAAGCGAGATATTTCAATTAATAGAAAAAAATAATTAAACTTCGACCCCCTGTAGCTCCGCTACTGAACGGGATCGAACTGATGTATATATAAACTCTTCTGATTAAAATGATGAGATCTACCTCCCATTTCAGTTTGTGCTCTAAAACCTTAATCACCCTGTATATTCAATCAAATCTTATAAGTACCTATGTAACTGTATTTTGTCATATTTGTATTTTTAAATTGAGAATTAGGAATAAGATTATTTTTTGATGATAATGTACGTTTTGTTTGTTTCTATTTTGTTAGAACTAGGTTACTTTTCTGTTCACCAAAAGTATATAATGTTTTGATGTCATAGGTTCATTTCAGTATCCTTTCTTGGAATTCCTAGAGGTTAAAATAGATCTGAATTTTTGACAAGGTGAGAAAATATGAAGCAATACTTATTTATGTAGAAAGGACGAAAAACTGTCTATTATAGTCGAGTCTCCAAATTGATAGCCGAAGCTAGCAATCAGGCGAGACAAAAGACAGTTTTTCGCCGAGGTGCATATTGAATTTTTTCATCGGCCTCAAACACTTATATCCACATCACGGTCCTAATCACACATGAAATCTATCGAATTTCGTGAATAATTAATTTGCAACAGCAAATGACAGCTGTCAACTCACTCTCTGCGCGGACCAGGGTTGCCAGCTCGATTTTTATTACATCAGTAGACATTCAAAATAGCTTACATATTTTCTCATTCAAACTGAATCAGATATCGTTTGTTGAGGAAACTGTATATCGTTGATTTCTGTTTTGACCTCTCATTTCAATGAAATTTATGTAGCGCCATCGGACTTTTGGGGCCGCGGCCGACCGTTAGGCGAGTCCCAAAATAGGGACAACGCCATCAATAGGGACGACGTCAATAGTTTCCCCGCCCTCGGAAGGGCTAGGGGATTAGGGACGCGTGGAAGGAGGCCCAACAGGAATCAGTAAGGAAATCGGAATATATACAGTGCGACGGGCAAACAATCATCTGTCAGATAAATTTGGGTGTAGGTGCTTGAAGAAATTTGTGAGTCACACTTTTATTCGATGTGGAGGATATTCATTTCTTCCTTGGAGACTGAAAAGTTTGCATGACACTTGTGAATTTCGTTCGAATTTGAGCACTTGTGTAACCAACTTAATCTTTCTTTGCCCTTGAATATTTTGCAAATTGTTGCCCTGGACTAAAAATAATTTGACCTCTGTTTACGGAAATTCATGTTTCTATTTCCGACGATTTGAACATGATACCTAATGCATCTTCCTGAAATTTTGTAAAAAATATCATTGCATCGATATTCAAGAAGTTTTAAACTTTTTTACATTAATTGAGGTAGGTACCTAGCTTTTTAGATTGGTGATTCATTATTTCTTTTGGTATTTAGAAAACAACTAACAGGGTGTTGAATCAACTTCTCGGCAAATTCTGACACCTTTGTATCAGTTTTTGAACAGCAGATGAAACATTGATTACAAAAAAGAACGTCATGAAATTGAAATATGCATAAAATTAGTACTAAAATTATCTGTATGAAAAACCACTAAATCCCTGAAAGATCTAATTTCAGCATTCATAACTGCTAAACTTCGAAAGAAATCTTCAGGTTGTCGTACATTCTTTCTCAAGTATTCAAATATGACTTTGACATTTCAAATAATGAAATCATATGGGCATATACTGTCTGATATCAAATGGAAATAGTGATTCTGAATCTCATCCTATGAAACTGACATTGAATGATGACCACACTACTCTCGACCACCTGAACACTTTGCCAGGTGTAATGTTACTTGTGTTCAAGTACAATGAGGAGGTAAAAAGTCCTCCCCCCGCTTTAACCTTTGAACGGAACAAGCTAGGGAGGTCGGGTAAAATTCAGGCAAAAGGGTACCTCTTTCACTACTACAAGGTGGGCCAAAAGAAGTCATCCGATGTTATTTGGCTCTCATTATTTTTCTGAATGAAAAGCTTCGATTCTGTTTATTTGAACCTTTAGAATTTTATTGGTCAAATCGAGAAGATGATATACGGGCTCGTTTTATGGCATTTTTTTGGGCGTGAGTTGTCGGTATCCATTTTTGTCGCATCTTTTTTTCATGTAACCGTGAGGATTCGCCTTTTGACCATGGAAGGAGACACATGGCGTCTCCAGGTCAGGTTAATGTGTGTGCAAGTCTATAATTTTTCTAATTACCTGATCTGGATTAAAATCCAATATTTATTGTGAAGTTTAATAAGTGTTTGTGAAAATTATCAAGCCCTTTTATCTCTACGCCGGTATAGAGGCCGGATGGTGACGGATTCACCGGATAAAGGGGCCATTCTTGAAATCAAACGTGCTCAGCATGAGCACATACGATAGAATCTTGGACATTGATGAACTCGGCTTCCGGGCATGGTGACGGACTACGGTGTCTTTAGTGCTCGAGTCGAGAGATAATATTATTACATAACCATATATATTCTTGAAAAAATTAATTACCTGATCTGGAGAAATTGTTACCGAAAGGTGACAGAAATCCAATAAACCCAAAAGAAGAAGAGAAGAAGTATGGCATTTTTCATCACTTCGGCGAGATCTTCGGGCGACAGATTCTGGCACTCGTGTCGAATGTTGTCCTTGAGGGCTTCCAGGGTGTCAGGCTTGTTAACGTAAACACAAGACTTCAAAAAACCCCAGAAAAAAACTCTAAAACGGTTAAATCGGGCGATCTTGCGGGCCAGAGCAAATCGCCAAAACGAGAGATGAGGCGATCTGGAAACGCCGCCTTCAGAATATCGGTTGTGGCTCGCGCAGTGTGTGCCGTTGCTTCGTCCTGTTGGAACCACATGTCCTCCAGTCCTAATTCGTTCAATTGAGGCAGAAAAAACTCGGTAAACATGGCCCTATAGCGCGCACCGTCCACTGTTGTCGTTTGACCAGCAGCGACCTCGAAAAAAATGGCCCGATGACTCCTCCAGAGTAAACAGCGCACCATGCAGTCACTTTGAGCGGGTCAGGCTTGTTAACGTAACACAAGACTTCAACAAACCCCAGAAAAAACTCTAAAACGGTTAAATCGGGCGATCTTGCGGGCCAGAGCAAATCGCCAAAACGAGAGATGAGGCGATCTGGAAACGCCGCCTTCAGAATATCGGTTGTGGCTCGCGCAGTGTGTGCCGTTGCTTCGTCCTGTTGGAACCACATGTCCTCCAGTCCTAATTCGTTCAATTGAGGCAGAAAAAACTCGGTAAACATGGCCCTATAGCGCGCACCGTCCACTGTTGTCGTTTGACCAACGGTGACCTCGAAACAAATGGCCCGATGACTCCTCCAGAGTAAACAGCGCACCATGCAGTCACTTTGAGCGGGTGACCCTCTAGGTCACGTGATCACAACCATTTCCATGCCAACTAGTAGTGGAAGAGATACCTTTTTGCCTGAATTTTACTCGACTCCGCTAGCTTGTTCCGTACAAAGGTTAAAGGGAGGGGGAGGACTTTTTACGTCCTCACTGTATATACTGAGGGCTGCTACCATATAAAATGCTATGAACTTGAAATAAATTCTATTTTGTTGAAGATGTAGAAAAAAATCGACGAATTTTATGACATAAAATAAGGTTAAGTTTGGATTTTGTTATAATTTGATGTTTTCTTAATGTAGGTATTACATATTTTTCCACATGAATTTTAGATTTTTTCCTCATCACACCCTAGTCTTTTCTATTGAAAATATTAAAAATTTTGTGAATTATGTTATCCTTGAACAGGAACATTCTCAGATATATTTATGGACACGAACAAATGGATATATATAAAGAAATACATTGAGAATTCGCATTCTCCATGTGATGAAAATATCAATTCTTTCTCGGTTCATTCAACAGAAAACAACTACTTTCCTGGCTATATGCGACGACGAATATTGAATTACATCTATTGAACACACACGATAAGAATTTGAAAACAACATCTTCTGAAGTAGAGAATTCGTGATAAGGTTTTTCTCAATTCAGAATTTCTTTCCACGTCCTGTATGATGAATGTCAATTTATCATACATATAAAATATTTTATCCTTGTTTTTCAAGGTGAAAAATCGATGTTAATCTTTTACATTTGATGGGTTCATATGTTACTGACTTGATGAATTAGATTCCTTCTTTGTTCAATAGCCGGTGACATCTTGTATGAAAAAAATGTGAATTGTGATTACAGTGTAAGAACTTTCAAGGTATCACTTTTTCATTCATATTACCCAGTGGAATCTTGGGACAGACACTCTTGACAGATCAACGGATTGTTTATAAACTTCATCCACAATAACAGAGAGAATACCCTCTTAAACCATAAATATCATCACATTTTTGCTGTTCATGGAAATAATTGAAATGTTTCTCATCATGAGATACAAAAGAACCAAACTCAATATACGATAAAACGTTTTTATCAGAATATTCAGAACGGGAATTATTGCTGGAATGGATAGGTAAGAAACTCAATGAACTCAATGAACTCAATGAACTCAATTCATTGGTAAAGATGCTGGAAACATGCAGGTAAGGATTGTCAAATCGGTACACTGATTTTATGGTTGATGATAATTTATTTTCTTGAATGTAATATTTCAACTTTTGCAAGCTTCCCCAGGTATTTTGCTCTGTAGCTTACATACAACTTCTTTGAAATTGGTAATACTATCATCTTGGAGTTGTTGATCAAATTGCTGAAAAATATGGATCATGAAAACCCATTTTGAGTCTGACTATTCTGTACCCACCCCGTCAAACAAAATAGTAGGAACAAATTTAGGACGAATCCTGGCAGTAGCTTGTTCAGCTTTCAATTGGATAATCGTTCCGAGTTCAGAATTGTAGCAATCTAGGACACTATTTTTGTCTAAACGAAGCCCTTCTGCACACTAAAAGCTCTAGAATAAATTAAGGTCTTGTGTGAGCACAAATTATTCCATACATGTTCTCCAATTTCCAGCTCTTCCTCCCTATGCTTTATGTAGTTTTCCATGAAACAATTGACGAATTCAACTTTTTGGTCCTGGTTTTCCAGCATTTCCAAAGCACACGACATCAATCTGTTACCTCTGCATTCTGAAGGGCCATGCTGGCAAACAAACTTTGAACCATTCTGGTAGCTCTGCAGAGAGAAAGACGAAAGTTCTCTGAAGAAACTTAATGGGCGAGTGGACGGATAATGAATGGGCTTATATCACAAAAAAAAATTATTTCATAATTCGATAAATTATTTCATAATTCGATAGAACTCACCCAAACTAGCTCACCACCGCAAACCATTTCTTGCTGTGAGCTCCCTACGTTTTATAAAAAAATATTGAAACCATCGATTTTTCGGACCTCTGAAAACGAGGCGATGATGTGACGTCAAAACCCTAATACTGAAACAAAACTATTCCAGACAGAGATGATGAATGATACATGATTTCTGACAGAGTGAATCAGCGCGATATCACAGTTGAAAGAATTAATATATCAGTTGCCTCAGTCTCCGTCGGGCGTTTGGTATTTTCTTTTAACTATGACGAGATGAGGTTTCTACGTCATAAGAGGGTCCGTTTTCAGAAGGTTCTATTATTTATGTCCAAAAATAAAACATTCCAGTTGATTTTTTGATCGAATTATGTCGTCAATCATTATTTATGTATAAAAAGATCATTATGAACATGGTTTGAGTTGAAAGTTCTACTAAGGTGTACACGCCCATTATTGGCATTCAATTACTCCAGGAAGACAAGACACTTTCGGCTGTCCGAAGATGGCTCGGTGACTATATCTTACTGAAGTCTCAGGTGGGACAATAAAAATTTTTATTTGGCCTATTAAAAATCTGAAAAAATCCACATAGACTGATTCGATGTCGTTATGAACGAATCTGTGGTGGAAATCGAGAAATTATGGAAAATGGAGACGTAGTAGCCTACCGGAGTGTTTCTATTAAATATTAATCTACTACTTCGGTCATTCTTATCCAATAGATGTTTTCGTGTTAAGCAAAATAACACAATGTCAGAAAAGCATGTTACAACGACAGGGACCCCACAAGGCAGTGTACTTGGGCCTTTGTTATTCTTGCTGTATATTAATGACCTCCCTAATGGAATAAGCAATGGAAAAATATTCTTATATGCGGACGATATTATCGGGTAAAAGTGCCGAAGATATGTTTCAACTAGTTAATAGAACATTAATTGAATTTAGTAACTGGTGTTATAAGAACAGACTGATTGTTAACATGAAAAAAACAGTCTGCATGGAATTTTCATATTCATCTAGAACCCTACATGATTTCGAATTCAATTTTCGAAATGAATCCCTGAGGCTCTCTGATTCAACAATATTCTTGGGAACGATGATCGATCCACTGTTTACATGGCATGATCATATTGATTTCACATGTAAAAAACTTAATCAATCATATTACTTGATTAAATCTCTGAAATGTAAGTTGGATACGAAATCACTGATATCAGTGTATTATGCTAAATTCCACTCTATTATCAAATACAACATTACCATTTGGGGACTGTCTACTAGGACAGATCGAATTTTCATAAAACAAAAAGCTTTGTTGAGGTTAATTTTCAATCTAGATTATCGAACTTCCTGTAGAGACATTTTCCGCCAAAATAAAATATTAACCATAGCAAGTATTTACATTCTGCAACTATTGACAGTTATACAAGAAAAGAAAGGCGAATTAAGAACAAGAATGGATATACACAGTCATAATACCAGGAATAGAAATATGATCATAACTAATAAGCACCATCATTGAAAATATGAAAGTTCCCCCATGTTTGCAGGAGTTCGTCTCTACAATCTCTTACCAAATAATATTAAAGAAATGAATCCTCAAAATTTCGACCACAAAAATCTTCAAAAGGTATTTTTAGTGATGATTCTCTACAGTTCTCAACACACTAATTGAACCACTCATAATTTGACTCTATTTCGAAGACCTGTATTTTTTGAAAAAATTGACCGATATTCATGCAGTTTTCGATATCAGATGTGATATTTCCTCGGCTTCAAAGAGAGTTAGAACACTCTGAAAAAGTCCGCAGAACAGAACTTACTCTGGGTGTAAAGTGGAACCATTACACTAGGTCTACATTTCCAATTTTTTTTCTGATCAAAAGTCATATCATCATATTATGATACACTGGGACCTCATCTCGGGACGTTTTCGTGATTTCTCCTTAATTGGCCATTGGAACAAAAATTAGATTTTTTTTCGAAAGTCTTGCATTTCTTGAATTTTTCCTCTAGAACTTATTCATTTGGGCTGACTATTGGGAAGAACTGTTCCAACGTTTTGTGGAGGACAATGAAAGACGAAAAAACAACAATACTCTGTGACTCATACTTGCCCAATAAATATTGAAAATCAGTTGATCAGAATCATCGATATCAGGAAACAAGTTTGAATTGAAAATTTTCATTCTGTATTTCAATTAGAGGCGAATTTTCGAAAACGTCTCGAGTTAATAGTCTAATATAAATAATGGATATCGAGAAGGCCGTTTCTGAATTATACTGAATCAAATGGGCCATGGTTTTCACCATTTTTGATTGTTTTTACTGAAATGAGATTTTGTCCTATTTTCTTATCATCCTGCGTATTTCACTATAGTGCTTTTTTCGTTTTTCATTTTCCTCCACAAAACATGAGAACAGTTCTTCCCAATAGTCAGCTCAAGTGGAGTTCTAGAGGAAAAATTCAAGAAATGCAAGACGTTCGAAAAAAAATCTAATTTTTGTTCCAATGGCCAATTAAGGAGAAATCACGAAAACGTCCCGAGATGAGGTCCCAGTGTATCATAATATGACTGACTTTTGATCAGAAAAAAAAATTCTCGAGTCCTGGCAGCATTGGAAATGTAGACCATAGTGTAATGGTTCCACTTTACACCCTGTGTAAGTTTTGTTCTGCGGACTTTTTCAGAGTGTTCTAGCTCTCTTTGTAGCCGATGAAATATCACATCTGATATCGAAAACCGTATGAAGATCAGTCAATTTTTTCAAAAAATACAGGTCTTCGAAATAGAGTCAAATTATGAGTGGTCCATCTGGTGTGTTGAGAGCTGTATTTAAGGAATAAAACAAATTGTCCACTCGCCTAATGCTTTGCTTACCTCACTTTTTCCGAATGGTATTAATTTCAGGTCTACATGTAGAGATAAAGTTTTCCAATTTGGGTATAGCTGTTTTCTTATGAAGTTGAGGCTGTCTGGACAGAGAGACTCAAACAGAACCTCTACATTGATCTTCAAGAAAAAAACATTATCTTTTTTTTTATTTTTTCGCTGATACCCACCTTATGGTCTGATTGAACTCCTTGTAAAAATCCTAAGAACAATGTAATTTCTATACTCTTGAGCATCAACATTTTCGTCTTTCTTTCAGTCTACTTATCAACTAACTAGTTTTCTGAATGAGACCAGGTTCAAGATTTTTATAATTTATACAGTGACCTCGCCTTTCACATTTCTTCAAGCATTTCGGTGAATGGGACATTGGAAGACGTGAGAATGTTGACAAAATATGTATAATGCATGTGCATACATTCTTTTTTATCTGACAAATTGTGTCCTATTACATTCAGCAAATTGAAAAAAAAAGATGCACTGCAATAAGACCTTCTCACGACCCCTATCACCGTTAAAAGCGTGACAAACAATAAATCCATTATTTTCAAATGGAGCACCTAATTTTAGATTCGTTTTTTTTTAACTGGAAATTCACCATACAAATTAGTGGTTTGATCTGAAGATTGTTATCTCATCTTGACTCCTAATATCTTTTTTTTGAAATGTGGTTCCATTTTCTTTTATTTTTGACAATATGAAAGAAAATTAAAAATAGCCTTACAGGGATTTTTTTTCCATTCTCTAATCAACAGGAGAAAATTCACTATCCGAAGAAATATAAAGCGAGCAGCAAATAGTGTATGAAATTTAAATTGAACACCCTATAATTTTTCCTGACTATTAGATAGATTTTTTTCCGTATATACTCCAGTCAATATAGTTATCTTCTGTATTTCCCAAAATATGAGCTTTCAAAACTAACAAAATTTGATCAATCTTGAATAATATTTGAATAAAGTAGGCCTCGACGATGATTATAGGTAATATTGATTTTCAGTGATCATCGTCAATGAGAATTAATTGTTATAGATAGCGAAACAGCGATTATCTGTGAATTTGCAATCATTTTCATGACTTTATCTCAAAAATCGTTCAAAATTCGATCAAATAACTCTGTTAGTTTCGGATGCCCATTAATAGAAAATTTAGAAGATGATTACATTGAGTGGAGTATTTTTGGAAAGCTGTTCTATGTAAATTTATACACTTTTTACTACTTCTTCTATATTTTCTCGATTCAAGGAGTAAAAAAAATCCCTTGTGAAATTTGTTCAATAATTTACTATCTTCTTATCTTTAGGGAAGATAACAAAATTCAACAAAATTCATCCTAGTCTGATTCATCATTTTTTTTTCGCAGCATTCCTACCATATATGTACTATTTCTATATATATGGCTCATCGCCTATATGATATCTCAACAAAAATGGAACCAAAATGAGAGATACTTTTTGAATCTATAAGGACGGAAAGTGAAGAAGCCATATTGGTTTGACAAGTTTCGTATAATTTTTTCCCTACGTCGGCATCAATGCGTATTGGTCGATTTCGTTGCCTATAGAGACAGAAGTTGGTCCCGCTTTGAGGAGAGCTATGATTTTCATATGAGTAGTAGACATATGATTCCTACCTACAGACATAATATATAGGGTGGAGACTTAAACTGGAATAAATTCGCTACTGGGGAAGTGGATAATTTTTTTGAAAATTCGCGAGACACGTCAACGTTTAAATGTATTTAACTACATTTGGCGAGCAATATATCCTACAGGGATAGCTGGAATCAACCCCAACATGTTTTTTGAAATGCAACTCTATGGCTTGCGACCCCTCATTGGAAAGCTGATTGAAAGAGAAATAAAGCGTACTGATCATATCTCAGTTTGCAGTACGTTTGGGGGTCACAAATTCGTCATTTCTCCTACATGAATCATCCTGAATGTATTAATGATTTCGAAAGAATACCTAAATGAAAATGGAATTCTTTGATTCCAAGCGTTTTTTGAGTGTGCTTAATTTTTTAAATCAGCCTTCCATGGAGATTTCAAAAATTTGATAATATACAGGTTGTTCCATTTGAAAAACTGTCGTGGACGTCACTGCTCAAACGTTGTTACCATGTTTATTTAACTTTTCATTATAAATGTGGCAAATTGAAATTTAAAATCGACCTGTTTCAGGAGATTCTCCAAATATGAATAGTTTGGCGAATGATGAATTTCTTCAATATGGGTACTTTACGAAAGCACTGTTTATGTAAAGTACATATACGAGAATTAGAAACAAAACTTGACTTCTTTGGACAAATGAATGACTAGACTCCTCCAATAATATATTATATTTATCTATTATCATTCTTGGTGGGGGGGGGGTGATTACCCCCATTACTCCCCCTTCCTTATCGACGCCCTTGACTGGTTGATGTCCTGTGAAAAATTATGAATGAAAACAATGGTGTAAGTACTTCAAATTTTACGTTTAATTTCATGATATGTACAAATAATTTAAAATTAGCACAAATATCTTTGTGAGTATTTTTTGTTGTCTAATCTTATCACACTCATTGAACAAGTTTTGGGGAGGGGATATGAGCGAACAATCTATATAAGCCAGAAATAAGTCTCTTGTCATAAATTCTAGTTGATAATTTGACAATCTTTTTGCTGTCGTCAATTCTCCATCAATTATGCATTTTACATTACCATTGAACAGCTATTATATTATATAGTCTTATTTAATTTTATTGACAAATATTTGGATTTCTTGACAATTTCAATTTGGTAGAGCATTCATTCCAAGAAAACATTGCATTGAAGCAGGTGATTCCTTGGCTCATTTTAGGGATAAAAGATCCTATAAACATTTCGTTTGTTTGATTCGTTTTCAAGATACTATGCAATATTAAGTTTTATTCAATTATTATTAGGCAACTGTTGGACAAAAATCGAAAATATTTCTATGATTTAATGAGATTCTGAAGGCGAATAATACAGTGCTAGTCAAAAGTCCCCTCCCCCCCCTCGTATCTTTTGAACGGGTATACTTATATAATAATGGCCTTGTGACGTCATTTATGACTATTGCGTCACCTGTTATGACCAGTTGAGAAGCCTACATCCGTTTATTTCCACCCTCCAAATTTCATTATTATAAGTATACCCGTTCAAAAGATACGAGGGGGGGAGGGGACTTTTGACTAGCACTGTATAGTGATAACATTTGACATGTCAGACTAACTTTTGTCTTCACAAGAAGCAATACAATACAGGGTGGATAAAAGAAGGATCTTTGCATATTTTCAACTTTGACAGCCTGTATTTCGAAATAGAAACGATTCCGAGATGTGTTCATAGGAAGTCCTAGTCCCAGAAGGCCCAAGGAATAACCTCATTCGATATACAAGCTGTCCCAGAACAACGTAACATAAATTCTACAGGTTGAACTTGATACCAAAATAATCTGATTGAAATCAAGTTACCTCTATACGAAAATGCACCGTTGTGCCGTGAGAGGCCGTAAAAAAAACAATTTTATTTTCAGATTTTCGATAATATTTCGAAATCCTTGAAGCACTTAAATTAATGTTGTTATTTATCTGGAAAACCAGAGAAACTTATAAAAACTCTGCAGTTAGTAAAAAGTCAGATAATTGATTTAGTAATTCATCGAAATATTTTTCTCCAAGCGCACATTCACTATAGTGAATGCTCTTCGAATTTCAGAGCAGTACCTTTCAAGGATTTCGAAATATTAAAGGAAATCGGGAAATAAAATTGTTCTTCCAACAAAGAGTCACTGACAAAGCTATTGGATTTTTCTTTTAGGCTTCCTGATAAAATAATTTGTTGAACGCAGTGACATTTTGGGCCAAATCATCTGATTTTCCTACTACACATACAGTGTGTCCATTTAGTGCGTAATGCTTTGATATCTCGAAAGCCATAATATATAGAAAAAACGTTGAACGAAAAACTTTTTCAGTTACTAAAGTTGCTTATTTCAAAAATATTTTCAACATTACTGGATGTTCTATAAAAGCGGGACGACTCGGAGACGAGTTTTTCAAATGGAACACCCAGTATTGTTTATTCGGAATTTATTCCACCGAGGTTTTCCTTCACATCGCTGTAAAAAAAATCAGAATCGGATAAATCTATTTTTACCACTATTGAGGAGTCATGTTGAATTGGGCATGGTATATTCATTTATTCAAATTTTGAAAATATTTTTGGCATACGGTAGTAGCAAGGTCTCACGTATACCAATCCAGTAATTTTGCGTCATGTTCTTCAACAGGGTGCTCAATTTTGCATTTAGAATTTCGCAGGTGATATTCATTAGAATTTTTCAAATGGAACACCCAGTATTTTCATTCACAAATTCATTCCGACATCTTTCGCCTTTTCATCGCTGAAAAAAAATCGGAATCGGTTGCGGCGTTGTCAAGTTATGAATAATTTCCTTATTTTTACTACTATTTCGGGGTAATTTGTACTTGTCATAGTTCTTTCATTTGTTTGTGTTGTGGAAATATTGCGTTGTTTCGATCGGTATAATCAAATTCTTTCATTGACCATTCATATATTTTTAACAATATGAACATTTACAGGCTCTCCAAGTTTGAATTTAAAACAGAGTGGGTTTCGACAAGTTGATCCAAAATGCTACTTTCACAGATTTTTTGCAGGCTATGAATTAATTTTTTGAAATACACTTCTATTATTTGTGTAATGACTTGTCAAACATCGCCAAAATCAATTACTTACCTATAGGAAACAATTTCAAAGATTTTTGCGCCACTAAAGACGATGGAACCAGATATTCAATTTATAATCCATGTGTTTGTTAGTATTTCAGGTATTTTCCAGTGTATAAAATTGTGCTCCAGTGGATTTTTTGGGAAACTTGATGATAAATAATGGGTTGACATTCCTAACTAAAGAATGTAATTAAAATAGAAACACTTTGAATTAGGTTCAACTGTTTGAGCAAGCCTACCACTGTTTTGAAGGCAGGCGTTGCTCTTGACATGTTTGTTCGTTTCACATACGTACATATAATTTAAATCATAAGTAACAAGATTACGGAATATTTCAAATTTAGACAATGCACATATCGCAAAAATACCTGAATGATCTATGTAGAACCTTGAATGTCATGTGACAAGCAATATTCCCACACTCAAATCATATAAAGGAACCATGTCTTATAAGTAGCCCTGAGATAGTGATAAACATAAGGAAATTACTCATAACTTGAAAACGCCGCAACCGATTTTGATTTTTTTTCAGCGATGAAAAGGCGAATGTTGTCGAAATAAATCTGTGATGAGAAATACAGGGTGTTCTATTTGAAAAATTCTAATGAACGTCGTCTGAATCTTACAATATTCAAAATGTAAATTTTAGCACCCTGTGAAGGATCATCTCGCGAAATTACTGGATTGGTGTACGTGAGACCTTGCTTCTACTGTATGCCGAAAATATTTTCAAAATTTGAATAAATGAAAATACCATGCCCAATTCAACAAGACTCTTCAATAGTGGTAAAAATGAGTTTATCAATTATAACTTCGCAACGCCGCAACCAAATTCAATTTTTTTCACAGCGATGTGAAGGTAAACCTCGGCGGAATAAATTCCGAATAAAAAATACTGGGTGTTCCATTTGAAAAAAAACTCGTTTCCAAGTCGTCCCGCTTTTATAAAACACACAGTAATGTTGAAAATATTTCTGAAATGAACAACTTCAGTAACTGAAAAAGTTTTTTTCTATAGGTTATGGCTTTCGAGATATCAAAGAATTAAGCACTAAATGGACACACTGTATATTGAAATAATACTCATATTTTTATTTTGTAGAAACGAGGAGAGAAAATCCAAAATAATCAAGTGAAATGAAGTATTTTATAGTTGGATTATATCATTTAAAAAAAAATACTTCTACAGTACTGACAATAAGGGTATTGCCAAATCAACAGGCACTCCTCATCCCCAAATACAGACAGCCAAGTCTGAATGCTATGAATTAAACTGTTCGAGAGTTATTTCTTGTGAATTCAATTTTCGCATTCAAGTCATTGGAAACTCTAATTTATGGAACAAGCGTTGCTCTGGAACCGATTTCTTTGAGAACTTCCGAATCCCGAGCAACACTGTTGGTGAGACTGAGAGTTCTTCAGGAATTGACTTCGTTGGCTGTTCCCTACGTAATTGAATTGTTGACTTTTCTCGCACAAATTGCCATCACTTTTCGAAGTCATCACGTCCATGTTGCTGCACTCCCTTTTCTTATCCATTCTCTTCGCATATTCGTACATGCATTTCCCAAACTCGAATTTTTCGTCAGGACATTGAATGCCTTCGGTGTCTCCCTTGGTCTGGTCGATTGGAGGTTGAAATTCAGATTTGTCTCGATCTAGAAAATCTTGTGCGGTTCCCTGAGAAGTAAGGCTAACCTAAAAATAATAATATTTTTTTCAGTTGTCGACATTATATCTGTTATCAGAACATTGTATTTCTTCGAACAGCGCGTTTACCAATCATTATGGTGAGTAAAATGATTGAAAATAGGCACAATTTCAGTAATTTGCGCAAAATTTGCGATTTGATAACGAGGTAAGAATTATGCAATCCGAAAGGTATTACTAGTTGAATGGTAGATCTCAAACGCCTTATATCTGAGTGAAATCCTCGACACAGCGATATTTTTGCTACCGTCATTCTAGACATACCTACTTCCGTTTCGTCAGGTGATAACGAGTTGATGTGAATAATACTTGTAGTTGCTTGATGAATATTACATGTGGTGTACCGCAAGGGTCAGTTTTGGGGCCCATAGAATTTTTAATTTACATTAACTCAATATCTACTTTAAAATTGAAAGGAAAACTAAAATTATTTGCAGATGATACAACAATAATCTATACTTCAAAAGATTTTAACGATATTATTAATGATATTAAAAATGATTTGGAACAAATATCATCTTGGCTAACGACCAATAAGTTGACTCTTAATAATAGTGAATCTACGTATATGTACATCTCAAGGAAGAACAACGGATATATTGAATCATACCCAAATATGTACAATAAGGTGTTATTATTGGGATGAACAATTTTTACCTCTTCTGTGAAGGTAGAATGACTAGTGCTAGGCGGGGCAGTGGTACATCTGGTTCTGAAACATGTAGGCAGTTCGAATTCGCCCACTTTTTCTGATTCCTCTTGCTCCAAAACTATCGAGCCAAAAAGACAGGCCGGATCAGACATTGTGTATACTGCGCCAGCTGAATTCGATCGGATCTCTGAAAATTAAATCCAGTTTTTTGAGTTCAAAACAAACAGTGTAATGTGACACTCCTCAACCTTCAATGACGTTGGTAATTACAACATTACATAAATGGTTGTAGATAATAGTATATTACATACCGAGGTGGAAAGAGATTCATTCCTGTCGTGAGATTAGTTCCTTATATCATTTGATGTTTCATCACTTTTCCCAAGTGTACCCATACCGCAACAACTTTGGAATACTTAAAGGAATTACTCGAATATAACAACCTAGATCCAGACAATATTGAAGAATTGGTCGATCTCACTAACCTCTGCATGAGCCAAAATATTTTTCAATATAAACAAGAATTTTTTGAACAACATGAAGGTACAGCTATGGAAAATTGTTTATCGCCTTTCCTGGCTGAACTGTTCATGAATCGATTTGAAGCGGCGAATGCAAAAATTCGAGTATTTCCCTAGGGTTTGGATTAGATATGTCGATGATATTTTTGCTATTTTTGATACAAAAACCACAGATATAGATAACTTTATTTCAAAATTGAATAACTGCTTACCCTCTATCAAATTCACTTATGAATGCGAAAATCAAGGCAAATTACCTTTCTTAGATGTACTTGTGATCAAAAATAGCGAGAACAACTTAGAATTTGATGTCTTTAGAAAAGAAACTAACACATTTAGATACATACCTAATGACTCCAATCACTGTTTTCAGCACAAAATGGCAAGTTTAAATTTTCTAGTACACAGATTGATTTCATTTCCTCTGAGCAAAGAAAGATGTGTGTGAAAGAGGTGTTGTTTATAAAGTGGCTGGCGTCAATGGGTATGATACCAAAATAGTAGATAAATTAATACGTAGACATAAATTTAAGTTAACACTTCGAAATTCTACGACTTTTCAAGTGGATAAAAAGAACTCTAGAAGAATCCCAATCCCGTTCAATCCCAAGTATACGAAGGGACTTGATAAGGTTTTCAAAGACTTAGGTTTTGAAAGCGTTCATCAGTCTGGGTCAAAATTAGGCAATTTATTAGGCAATCCGAAAGATGAAGTGGACACACTTGAAAAGTCGGGAATATACGAAATAAGTTGTAATGATTGTGATAAAACATATATAGGCCAAACCAGGCGACCCATAAAAACAAGGTTCAAAGAACACATAGCCCATTTAAAATATGGCAGGTTAGATAAATCTTGTGTAGCCGAACATATGTTCAATCACAATCATAACACACATATCACTAACCTCAAATTAGTTAAGCAAGTTAATAACATTAGAAAACTAGACGCATATGAAAGCTTGGAGATATTTAAGAATAGTAATAGAGTAATGAATAAGGATAATGGACCTATTCCATATAGCCCTCTATATAGTTCAGTGAAATAAAATTTAAGATTAACATGTGAACTCAACCATGACAAACATTAACTTGACGGTTAGTATTTTTCACAGTTGGGTGAACATATACCTAGTATACAAGCAGCACACTAGAATAGGATATTTAGTTTTAATCTTCTCCTGAAGATGCTAACATAGTTAGCGAAACACGTGTCGAGGCGTTAAAAAATCGGTTTGGTTAGTGGTAAAACAGTGTAGTGTGAGATCAGTTAGTTAACCGAGACGCAAAGCGTCGAAGTTAGCTAAAATTTCGAGTCAGGAATGTAACTTCCTACCGAAGCGAGCGTTTTTGAAAGTTGTAGTGGAACACACTGAGGTCACTAATCTGTGCTGAGGCGTCCTTTAAATAAGCCAAAATAGATTACCAATAAAAACAATTTCTATACCGACCTCTCCCGTATAACTTGATTGGTGAACTAGCTATACTTCTTCGAGCGACATCTTTGAAAGTGATGGGCGAGTATACAGACCCGCGAGCCACTTCAGGTCCTTTTTCTTCCGGCTGCATTGTCAACTCCTCGGAAGATTCGGAAGTAGATCGAGAGTCCAGGACTTTGGGAACAGGAGTACGACACTCTCTCGTTTGCAGCCAGTAGGTTTTCATGGTTCCTGAGAAACAGGCTATATCAGGTATAGTTTATGCAAAGCCAGTTGGAAAAAGACACCACCGCAAGCCGTCGGTCCCTTTGGAAGTTCAAAGAGTGCGACAGCGCGGACCGACATTCGTTTGATGATTTATTCAACTGACTGCATAAACTTTTCCACGTTTTTATTAGCTGGGTATGTATGTTTCTATTAAGGGTGTTATTAATTGAGTGCCGTTGTTAAATGAATGATTCCGAATCAAAAGTGATTTTCAACCTATTTGGACTCCTAATACCATTTTCCGAAAATTGGGGTGGTTCCATGGCTGGTGGCGAGCAGTGTAAATCACTGTAAATGACCTCACTTGGTCATAGAGTGTATTTTTGGTATATCTCTCGCTCCAGCAAATTTCAGGATCCTTACCGAACGATTACGTAACATACAGGGGTGTTTCCATTAAAAGTGAGACACGCTGTATACAATGATAGTATAAGTATTAAAATATGATAATTCAGTATTATAATCATCCATACATTATATAAACCAAACTAAGATCACGTGAGCGTGCGGGAATATTGCCACGCTGTTGGTTTTCACTTTCGCAGATGAGTTTCTATAAACATTAAATTTGTTATTTCTCGAATGGTTCTATTCTTCTTCGAATATTTCTTTTTGAGAAAACGACTTTCATCGATTATTCAATCAAACAGTCGGAAATTTAGTCGACATTGTGAGTGTATATGGTATCACGTCAGGTACCCTCACGAGGGGAGTGTATCAACTTTGGTGTTCGTAATGCCTCTCTACAAAGGAGGGTGGCGCCTTTAAGAGTTAGGTATAAACAGTGGTTCCATGCCAGTTTTTTTCCAAATTATTCATGCACTAATAGGAAGCAAAAGTCGTTGCTTCAATGGAGACATATTATGCTCAGTAATGAATGATATATTATGACGCAATCAGGAGAATCTCGAGAGATGAGTTTCTATTAACATTAAATTTGTAATTCTTCGAATACAGATCATGGTTCTTGTCAGTCGACAATTTAGTCGACAATAGGAGCGTATGTAATTACGTGAGGTACCCTCACGAGGGGAGTGTATCAACTTTGGCGATCGTAATGCCCCTCTACAAAGGAAGATCTTGGATTCCTGGTGTAAATCATAATGAATAATATATTTCAGGATATTCCAAGAACAATCTAAACTAATTCACGATGATCGAAGTCTGATACCTTGATTGAATGCATTCATCAGCGCCATCTCATAACATTTTTGAAGAATACACAGAATGATTAGAGTATCATTCTGTCGAAATACAGCGTTTCTGCTACAATACTCTTCCGATGAATGACATATGAAAGACAGACCTGATGATTCACAGTTCCGTTCGAATAGGTACGATTACGATGTTTCACTGTCCTGACAGAATACAGACCAACATAATATAATAGCGCAAGAACAGTCTGGTTTTCAAAATAAAAAAAACACCAATGATGCTATTTTCAATTTTCTCGAAAAAGTATACTTCAGCAAGTTTTTTAAATTCGGTATTCGTGGTATACCTTTAGACTGGTTTAGATCTTATCTCACTGACAGGAATCAAAGAGTATCATTGTCAAAAAAGACTCCCGATAAAGGTCATGTTTTACGGGGGGTCCCTCAGGGGTCGGCTCTAGGCCCAATTCTCTTCATGATTCATATCAACGATATGGTTAGTCTAGATATTTCTAGGCGACTAACTTCATTTGCAGATGATACCGCGATTCTCTGGTATAAGGAAGATAGAGCTAGTTTGGCTCAGTCTATTTCAGTGGACGTGTGAAGTTGGTGTGAAGCTAATATGCTAACTCTTAATGTTTCTAAAACAAATTGAGTGACATTCAAGTCTGAGGTTGAACCAAATACGCTAGGAGATCAACTCATTGAGAGCAAGTCTGTCACGAAATTTCTTGGTGTTCACAATTTGAAGTTTGACCATCATATATCAGCTCTTAAAAAAATATATCCTCCGGTTGCTTCGCAATCAATATGATATCCCGTGAACTCGGATTGCAAGCTTCAATATCGGCATACTACTCACTTATTGAATCGCATCTGAGGTATGTAATTTCATTCTGGGGATGTAGCTGTCATGGTCTTTTAAATAGTGTTTTCGTCCTTCAAAAACGAGCTCTGAGATTTTTATTCAAACTCAAGACGCGTGACTCATGCAGGCCAATTTTTCGCAATAATAAGATATTGACGGTCTTTGAAATTTTTGTTTTAGAAACAGTCTGTTTGCTTCACAAATATAAAGGAAATTTCATGAACACAAACATAGACAAGATTACGCGTAATAAAAGAAACCTTGCTCTTCCTCTGCCTAATTCATCTTTAACGAGACAATCCTTGATTTATAGGAGAAAAAAGATTTATTATATATCTTGCAATCAATGTATCGCAAGATATTGACTTTGTCGACAAAATGTGTTCCTATTAGACATTAAAGCGTATCCATCTATCTATCTATATCTTCGATTGTTCAGTCTTGGACGTCTGATGATCGGTATAGTCGAGATATTTAAAAAGTCATTCAGACATTTTTGATATACCTTTTCCTTTTATTTGTATCTCTCCTCTCTCGATGACCCCATAGCTGGAGGGCAGCAGCTCTTTGGTATACTGGGAGATGTGAATTTTCATTGCCTCGCTGCTCGACTCCATGCGCGAAGCGGTGTTGACACTATCTCCGAAAAGACAATATCGGGGCATTTTCAGACCCACTATCCCCGCCACTACCGCCCCCGAGTGCACCCCAACTCTGATGCGAAGATGTTGACCTACAAAATGCCAATCAATTACATTTTCAAAAAAAAAAAAAAAAAAGAAGGGTTCCAGTTCGCGATCGTCAAGGTCATTACCCAGTAAACACAAACATCCCTGGGATGTCACATTCATGTCTAGCTAGGTAACATATTGCAAATCACAAAAAAACATCATTGGTTCTGTTAGGTGACTCTTTATTTCACAAAACACTCGCAATATTCGCCTCATTTCATTGGATGTGAGGCTGCCTAACAACTAAGAGACTCACTAGAAAATCACATTCTTGTCTGATAATTTGAAAAACCGAACCCATAAATGTTTATGTTGAATATGGGGAGTCGATTATTACATCACTGCGAGTTTCATTTGGCGTCATATGTGGATTATAAAATGACCAAAAGGGTCCTGAATAGCAGTCATTGTGATATCAATGGTACTCTCAATTCGAGTCACGAATGTGATGTGTGGCACGAATGTGATACCCTTTAATATCTCTGGGATCAATCTGTGTTAACTCGGTAGTATAGGGCCCGTATTTATAGTAGTTTCCTCAAGGACTCCCCAAGTCCTCCTCATATCTGAGGATTTCTTCAGGACTCCTCAGCACTTGATGAAAAACTTGTTTAGATCCCTCACACTTGGCAACAGTGTATAATATTAGTGTATAATATTGGTGTTCTGTGACCGAATTTGTTGTGTCATGTCAGGTGTTGGTCACAAAATGAAAAATGTCAAATTTGAACAAAAAACTCAAAATGTTTACTGTGGAGTGTGGACATCGTAGTTATGTATAATAGTAGGAGAGCCGACTGCAGATTTACCGTCATCCCAGATAGCATAGGACGTCCCGAGGACGACCATTTTATATCCTATTCATGGCCGAACGTCCCAGACTATAATTTGGACGTCCTGAGGACGTACGACGCCAAACGTTTAAAAGAATAAAGTGGTGCTATGACTGGGCTCTAATACGCTCGAGTATTTCTATGTGACTGTTTTGTTTTACATTTTTGAACACGCTGTCCCCACCAGTGGAAGGTCATGTATCGTATAAACTTTTTTTCATTTTCGCATCTAATCTTCACAATCTGATTCGTCCCTACGACGCTCGAGTAAATTCCTATTTAGCCTTCATTATTCCAAATTTTTTGTGATTTTCTCCTCTTTTCTATAAAATAAAAATATGAATGTTATTTCAATATACGTGTAGTAAGGACAAATCAGATGATTTGCCCCAGGTAAAAGTGCACTTATCATGCGGTGGGGTTTTTTTCGAAAATTTTTTTTGGTACTTACGTATTTTCGTCTGAAAAACACGAATTTCATAATGAAAATGTGAACAAACCATTATTTATTAAGATATTTCACTATAAAGTTACAAATTTCACCATCTTTTCCGCCTGTCTTCTGGTTCACATTTAGAACAATTTGCCCTTCTTTTTCCATCATTGGACAATTCATATATATCACACAATGTTGGGCACATTTTTTTCATTATATGAGTCAACTAGAAATATGATTTTCTTGTGATTCATCCATGTTTAGTGAAAAGAAGGAAGAATATCATTTGAAATAATGGCGTGTGCCGTGTGTAATGTCATTCCAAAGCAATCTATTGACATTTTACATCTCGTATTTGGATTGCATGTGGATTAAATGGCCGTCATCTGGTATGCTTGCTCACTAAATAGGAAAAACTCGCCATAAAAATCATATTTCCTGTTGAATTTTCTATCTTAAAATGTGTCAGTGAAGTACATCATGAGTATATAAAGTGTCCAATGACAAAATAATAAGAGCAAGTACCTGTAAATGCATTCAACACAAGGGGGAAAAGAAGGCAAAATTTCGAACTTTTTCTTGAAATATCTCGATAAATAGTGGTTTGTTCACATTTTCATTATAAAATTCGTATTTTTCAGACGAAAATACGTAAGTACCAAAAAAAATTTTCGAGAAAAACCCCATCGCATGATAAGTGCACTTTTACCCCCCAAAATGTCACTGCGTTCAAAGAATTTTCCTATCAGAGAGCATAAAAGAAAAATTCACTAGCTTGTCAGTGACAATTTGTATTGAAAAAAGTTTGGAGAAGTATATAAAAAAAATATCAAATTTTCACTTATCATTGGAAAAGAAGATAACAACCAGAAGAGAAAAATCGTCAGGTTATCAGGGAAATTTGTTCACAAAAATATCTCTAGCAGCCATCGTCGCTGCGACAAAGACTGCTTAACAAAATGTAATCTGTATTTTACCCCCTTTTGGCAAACACATTTAAATATGTTCGTACCGTATTTTACCATAATGTCTTTAGTTTTAAACTCGAACAGAGATATTTTTATGGACAAATTTCAGCCAGGAATATACATATCAACTATGGAATATTCCCTGAATGTGCTGGTGGGGAAAATTTTGTATATTCCCGGAATATTACACAAGGAATATTCCCTATATATTCAGAATGTACCTATAATATTCTGGGAATATTCAGATAATATTCGGAATATTCCTGGAATAATACAGGAATATAAATAAATGAATATTCCGGGAATATTCCGTAATACATATTCATAATTAAAAAAAGCTGACCCAAGATGGGCTCGAACTCGGGACTTTCAGACTGTCAGACCAACCACTTGGCCAGTAATCGAGTTGAATAATAATGTACATAACAATTTATTGAATTGCGTTGTTCAGAAGGGAACCATAAACACTTCCAGTTCCATATGGGCTCTTAACATGTACGATGATCTGATTGAGTACTTTGAACACTATATATCAAAATTGTGGAGACGACTTTTTGTTTTTGATCCCTGGTAACATAACCACTTCACTTTGAAATACGATGGACTTCTACCACAAATTTCAAAATCAATGTTTAATACTCATATCTATAAAATTGTGATTGGTTAATTTTCATACTTTACAATTTCATTGAAACACATGGGAATATTATTGAAATATTCCATGAATATACAGGAACAGATTATTCAATTGGGAATATTCCTGGAATATTCATACCTGAATATTCCCTGCACTATCCAACTGGAATATTCTAGGAATATTCACTTCAGAATATTCCTTCTGGAATATTCCCTGTATATTCATTTTGGAATATTACTAGAATATTCACATTTGAATATTCCTTGAATGTTCCAGAGGAACGTATATATTCTAAGAATATTCGAAGGATATTCGGAATATATTCTTCCCTTTTAGCATATTCAGAGAATATTCTAGGAATATCCAGTGCTGTCTGGGAATTAATATCCGGGAAGTTTTTCTCGAACACGAATATTTAGAAAATTCGTGTTCTCGAAAAAATTTCCGGAAATAATTGAAGCTCTCGTGATATTAAAGTGAAAATTTACCAGTGGACGGGTCCTTGAGATCGGTGATGGCGTCCACCATGTCCATCGCCATGTCGCACACCCTCTGGGCATGGTTGCCTTCCTTCTCGGGCGCTCCGCTAACCACCATGTACGCATCGCCGATGGTCTCCACCTGGGGGCCAGCACCACCACAAAAAATAGCATCCGAACCAAGGTTGGTAAAATTGATGATTATTCGTAGAGGAAGGTTATTACATCGATCAGAAAACGCGGTACTACTACTGGTACTGGTGGGGGACGTTTGCACGTCAGCAACTAGTCCCTGATGGGACCTTTTTGCAAGCCCCAATAGGTGTTTTCAATGGCTGATCCGCCCATCAGCTCTCTTCCAGAGTTTTCAGGCTGTGTTCTGTAGGCTAGTAATGCTTCAGTGACAGGCCTGCTAGCTATCCTCGTTAACCCCCGTTAACCCCATCTCTTTCTGCGTGTTCTGTGTAGGCTTCGTTACTAACTCCATTCGCCACTTTAGGAGCAGCACTGTTAATTGGAACGCAACAGTGAATCGTGCTGGACTTTCCCCAGCCGATGCTCCGAAACTTTACAATAGTCAATTCGTAAAAAAATATTGAAAAGAGTTTCTTGCTCGTGCTGGGAATTGAACCCACGACCTTGTGGTCGTGAGAAGGAAAACGCGGTAAGGGGTTGTCGTAATTCGAACGAGGAGGAAATGTTGACAAGATAAATATGGACTTGGCAACAATTCTCGAATGGGGATCCAATAACTTGGTAGATTTCAATGCAAACAAAGCACAAGCATGCCTTTTCTCTAGAAAATCCGGTCTCACTGTGCCCAACCATAAGCTTATCAGGAGTAACCATATACCTTTGAAGACATTCATTTCGATGCTTGGTATTACTATCAGCAATAACCTTTCTTGGGAAAATCACGTGATATCAGTTGCTAAAAGTGCATAAAAAACTTGGTTTTCTGTCTCGGGCCAGGAGCTAGTTCACTTCCAGTCAGCTGCTTACATAAGGCACAGATCCAACCTGTCCTGGAATACTGTTTCCATATTTGGAGTGCAGCACCCAAACATACCCTAAAACTGTTGGATTCTGTCCGAAAAAGGGCAATTCGTCTCGTGGGTGATGCCTCGCTCACAAACTCACTGACTTCTCTGGAACACCGTAGGAAAGTTGGCGATCTGGCTCTATTTTATAGATATTTTCATGGACGATGCCCTTCTGGAATATCAACAATTGATCCTCCCTTGGCAGTACCCGCGAGATTAACCCGTCGAGTTGAGGCTTCGCACCCCTTCGTGGTAACTTTGGAGACCTGCAGAACATCTCTTTCCACAAAGACTCGTTCATCCAACGAACAGCGAGGCGCTGGAACACATTGCCAAGAAATGTATTCCCCTAGGCATATAAACTCCAGAAATTCAAGGAGAACACCAATTCCTACATTATTTCCCTTGGTTCTCACGATGTTCTCTGAACAATACAGGATTTCCCTTTTCGTGGGAACCAGAACATAAAAAAATCCCATTCAAAATCAAATGTTGGGAATGTATGTATGTATCATATTAAATTTACCATATGGATGTCCAAGACGGATACCATATTAATAGATGTCCATGACGGATACCATATAATCCGTCATTCCTTGAAATGCCTATAGCCATTTCACGTCATATCGGCAAACAGCGTAACAGGCGTAACTTCCCTTTTCAGCCGTTAATCTGATTGCCGGAGGGTTGAGGAAGGCAAATATCCTTTCTGCATATGCATAAGAAGGGAAACTGTTCTCCTGCCTAAATGAACCTACTTTCCTTCCGTCATTACAGGGAATGTCTGAAACTATTAGGCAAACGGTGTACGAAGTTTAGAGTTTCGTTACGCTGTTTTCCGGCAATACGTGAAATCACTAGGCATTCCAGAGAATGACGGATTTCATTGTTTAACGCCGACATATGGGCTAAAAGTTGGAAACGCCGATATCCTATGGATGTCCATACGTTATCCAGTGTACACAAAGTGGATGTCCTATGGATGCCAGAGATGCCCAGAGGAGGATGTCCATATATAGGGATGGGAAAAAAATCAACTTCAGCAAGTTTAGAGATACAACCGAACAGGCCTTATGTATGATTCTAGATCACAGCTGAATGGGTACATTTAGTTGTAGAATATAGAATCCCATTACTCCGAAATGGAATTTTCGATGGGATTACGAATTACCACTTGCTCTTACCGCGTTTTGCTGATGATACAAATAACTATCAATTCTACCAACCTTTATCCGAACTTTTTTTTTCAAGACAGTTCAACGATATGTCAAAGGTCGAAGTGCGGTTAGTATTTGTGATATGGAATAGTAAATTCTGCAACGAGTGGGAGAATTTAAACTCTTCTCGCGAGAATGGAAGTTTGTCTGAAGGGCACGTGCTACACGAGTGCGAAAAGTTGAACATTTCCCACTCGTGTGGCACTCTTAACTTTTCATACATCTGCACAAATTTAAAGAATACAAGTAATGTAACTTAATATTAATTTTGTTGATTAGCAAAGCTGAAAAAATTCTTATTATCGTAATTTTTATATTGGTGAATATATCACTATTTTTATGTTGTTTTTATACTGATAGTACTTCATGACATCGATTATTATTGTGACCAAAGAGTATAGACGCCTTTCGGAAAAGATTTAATTCATGATGTATCTCTTCTTCATCCAATCATTCTTTTTGTCTTGAAATTTCCGGCTTCAAATAGTTCAAATCTAACGTTACTACTTTCAGTGTCTATAATATTTATCCGTTAATCACCCTGTATGTTTAGTGTGTGGCAAATATGGGAAAAATGCAGATATTTGCTTGCAAAGCAGTATCTGTGTCAATTGGGCACATAAATCGTGTGCTGATAACGAAAAAAAATTTTTGGGGCTATTGTGAAAATCTGCCACTATTACCCCAACTATCTGGGATAATAGTAGCCATCCATTTTTTTATTCATTCTGTAAAAAAATGTTCCAGTTGTTTTCCAAATTTTTATCAATAGGAATATCACGTCTATGGGTTCCCTCTTTTATGTGATAAATCGCCATAAAATAATGTACTGATAGAAAAAAATGCTTAAAAGTTCAACATTCCCCCGCTCTCCCCTAGGTACTCATAATAAATGCTCACTTTATAAACTCTATTCCTTTCGGTCAGTTTGTCGAATATGGAGTACATGCCATTGAGCATCGAAACTACTTCCATGGGGGTGATTCTGCTACAGATCTCTGTGAAAGTGACCACATCGGAGAAAAGTATAGAAACACTGTCGAACATCTGAAATTTAAATTTTTCATGAGTACGGAAAGAAAAATATTGTTTGAATGAACAAAAATTCTGTTGATTCAACAAAATCTGGGTGTCATATTTCCTCGACAAAATATTTTGTTACTGTAACTACTGTAATTTTTACTGTCAGTTTTCAACTTGAAATTTTGTTCTTATAATACAATATATCCTCTGATGAACACATTCTGTTGATTGAAATGATCATGTAATTTCATTCAAGTGACAAAATTTTCAGTTTTTCAGAAATTTAATATGTTGAACTAACAATCTAAATTATTATTATTATTATTAAATTCCTTGTGATATTCTAGCAAATAAAGTGTCCAAACGTGCTCCGTTTTTGAGATACAGGATGTTGAAGTTGGAAGTGTTAATTGTTTTTATTTATAACCCCTCGGTATAAGCTTTTATTGTGCCGCAGTATGGTTGGAGACTGAGAAAGCCTCAAAATTTCAAAATGATTCTAATGGGGTTATTGAGTAATCTCAGTGGAAGTCTTGAAAACACGCCTACATTGAAATTTGGAGTCAAATCGAATCTTGATTGTTTTCTCAAAAATTAGGCTGGTTACAAAAATTACAAAACGGATAAAACAGTTGTTATTTCAATAGTTCAATCTAATAAAAATATGAAACTCAAAAAAACCGGTGGCGTACAATGACATTCACCATAAATAACGATAAATTCACCCACTGTGACGCCACTGGAAATATTATTTCGAATCTAATCGCACCAGAAGAAGCTCCATATTAATATTGACAAAACCACAACGTTTTATTGAAATTGATGGAAAGACAACCGAGTAATGAATAAAAAAACGATTTTTCATGGAAAAATTAATACCCTGTATCTCGAAAACGAAGCAAGTTGGGACACATGTTTATACAAACTTTATTTCCTTGATACACTCTGTATAGTCTGAATATAACAAAATATTTTTCCTATCCAATTAGAAATTGCATTCGATTAACAAGAATTATATTTGAAATTGACGAACAATTTTGTTGAATAATATCGGATAAATTTTCCAATTGCTGAATTATTTCAAAATAGACAATTTTCTCACTTGAATCAAGACTGCAAGCTTGCAAGCGTCATTGAAAACGGTTAACGGGTGTTTTTTACCTATTTTTTTGATATAATGTATCTGTTGGTTCAGTTCAACAAAATAATATGTTTGAAATAATATATTTCTTGATAATGATGTTGAATCAACAAAATATAATATTGTCAAATTCAATTCAATTTTGACGAATAGAAGGAAAGCATAGAATGATTGAACAATGAAATGATTGCTGAAACAACAAAATATGATGTTGTCTTTCGTTGGATCTTTGTCAAAAAGACACGATGCAGATGATTGATTGAACAATGAGATGATAGTTGGATCAATTATAAATATTGTTGAATGATTTGAACCTTCGTGCAGGTAAACAAATATTTCAATCAAAAATTTTTGTCTTTCCGAAGTCGCTTATGTGGAATTAATATATATTTTGTTGATTTCGCAAAAATAATTTCAATTTGACAAAAAAAATTGACAAAAATAATTTTGTTGGTGCAACAAATCTTTTTTTTTTCCTGTGCACATACTGCGTTTTCGGTATTGTTTTGTTCACCTCACAAGTATCTATCGGATTTTCCCCTTTCCTCAATCGATCAGCCACTTGTTTCGGAATCATTTGGTACAAAAGTTCATCAGTCCTTCTCATTTCGTCGTCTAGCTTCCTCATGGATTCTTCTAGCTTCTTGCTTTTCTGTTGTTCTTGGTCTAGAGCTAGTTTCAGCTCCACAGATTGCTGGGTACCAGCCAACATCAGGTCTCTAGAAGGAAAGTTTCAGCACTTATTCATACACACCCTGTCTATAATTCGATGAAAAATTGGAATTGTTGATGAAAAAATATGATTTTTAACGTCGACTGATGAAAAACCGTTGCTTCAACAAGATTATTAGAATAATTTTATTTTCCTTATAGTGAATGACGAATTTTTGTACACAAAATCGTCATCAAACGTAATTTCTTGATTCTTCAATTATTATGAGATTAGTTAGAAAAAAATATGGCATATGAGACTTGCCTGCTGAAATCATGCATGGAGAGATCGTTGATATAAAGTCCAGAGTTAATTAAAGAGTTGAGATCGGGCATCACAGGTGTTCCTAGGTACATCATCATTTTCCAGTTATCCATATATATCATCTGACCTGAAATGACACGAAGCAGAATATTTCAGAAACTATAACAATTGTTTTATATTAATATGGAAAAACCGAGTGTGATGGACATGAACGTGATTTTTCCCATTACCCTGTATGTAAAATACTGATTTCAGTGTATTTTTTATCAAGAAAATATTCGATTGACTTTTCTTTCTTTATTTTCAATCAACTTACTTAACAGACTGTCAATTAACCACGTTGTTTCTATCCGGTTCGAAGGACCATGTAAAATACAGATTTCTTGAATTTTCTACCAGGAGTTCTCATGCGATTCCGTCGTTATAGGCTGGGATTCTGCGGTGATATCGCAGAAATGTTCCATCAAGTGATGATAAAAAAAAATTAATGTCAAGTTAATTGAAAATAAAGAAAGAAAAGTCAATCGAATAGTTTCTTGATAAAAAATACACTGAATTCAGTATCTCTTTATGTTTTTGGTTATCACCAAAAGCTTTTTAAAAAAATGAATTTATTTATTGAACACAAAAATGTCGAAGTTTTATTAGAGAGAAAATTACAATGCGTCTTTACTGTGTGAAGTCTATGTCAAATCTGATGAGAACTAGTCGGTGAACGTCTCGTTTCCTGCAAAGCGTAAACTGATTCTGCATCCGTCAGCGGTCTCAGCATATCCCGTGAGAACATGGTAGCTTATGATGTTCCCATACATAATTCCTCCACCCTTAGAAGGAACTCGAGGGTGGAACCACTTGAGTTGCGTTGACTGCTACCCTAGTGTCTTCTTCTGGCGTGGAACAGACTACTCGTTTGGCTAGGCTTGCTATCTTTCTTCGGTGGGTGGCTAATAAGTAGACTAACATCGTGGTAACCAGGAATAGGGTGACTGTTAAGGACCATCTTGAATGATCGGAATGAATTCTAACTTCTTGTAATGGTGTTTCTTCTAACTCTTGCAGTTGAAGTTCGTGCAACTTGTCAAGAGATACTTTTTCTAGCTTAAGTGTCTTGACTTGTAGTATTGGAATGTTGGTTTCACGAATTTCTTCTAGCGTCATTGGATGTCCTACTATTAGGCCTTTTTCGTTTTTGTACGTGTATTCCGATGTCTTGATTCCACAATCTGGCGGGACTATGAATAGGTAGCTTCCACGAAGTATGGCAACGTCGTTTTCTTCGCAGAAAATCTGTATCTTTTCGTTTTCGGGAAATATTCCTATGTAGTGGCTTTCATTGATTTCTTCTATGATGTGTTGAGATACTCGTACTGGGACTTGTTGGCAATTTTGAATGCTGTTTTCGACAGAAAGCAGTGACGTGATACAATCGGGGTTTTGTCGAAGTGGTAGTAGGTGGTTCTTCTTGCAGAGGAATCCTGGCTGTAGCTCGGTACATTCTTCATCTGAGTACTGGTATTCATTGTTGCTTAAGGATAGGTATGTCGAGGGAGGTATAATGATTGACTGGTTTTGGTTTGGAATAGAATATAGGTGGTAATAGTCAAAGGTTTCGGAATGAACTAACGGAAAATCGAGCGAAAATATTATTTTCCTATTCGAGTAGAAAACACTGGTTCGAACAATGTCGTAATATTTTAGGTAATCTGACAAAGAAAATAGTAGTTGAGATTCGCTATGTGACTGATGTAATTGAGATATTACGGATTTTAATTCATCAGGGGAAATAATGCTGTGATGTAAAACTTTTAAGTTAGCGAAGCTTATAGCGTTTTCAAGTTCTGATAAAAAATGCAATAAAAGGTCAGCGTTTATTTTGATTTGGCTAAGAATGTCTTGAAATCCTAAGTAGTGTGCGTAATTGAATTGTGTTTTATTTAGAACAGTTCTCAACTCTTCAAATTTGTTTTCTATTTCATTTTGATTTTGAATTGTTTTGGACAAAGTATCATTTATATTCGACATAAGTTCTTTAGCGAGAGAGATTTGTTTGTTTACCTTCTTTATAATATTATTTTGGCTATTTTCGAGCTCGGAAATGCTATTATGAATTTCATTGGCGTCCTCGTTGTCCATATTACCAGTGACAAATTTCATAAGAGAACCAAGCGGATTGATCAGTCCTCTTTTGAGTCTATTTTCAGGAAATAGCGAGGTGATTTTTTCGTTCAAAGTATTGATTTCGTATTCCAAATGTTTATGAGCATTATACAATGATTGTTTATAAAATGAAGTAGCATTGTCAATCATTTTTCCAAGTCTGTAGTAGTGGTTTGTAAGTGAAGTACTTTGGGTTTTAATAAGGTCAGTATGTATGTAATGAATGAAAGTGTGGGAGGCAATTTTGATGCGGGCGTTTCCTAATTTGAAAGGAAGGATTCCGGGATTAGTTTTGAGGTTCCGAATTTGAACTTTCTGTGTCTTCATTAGGGGAAGAATCGTCAGCCTGTAATAATGTTTTGTCAATGAATTTTCTAGGAGGTTTGAAAATGTTTTTGTGATATGTGTTCTGAGGTGTAGTCACTGTTAAGTCAGTACTTTTGATGATGTGTTCTGGTTTGTAGTTAGGGTTTGTCTTTAATTGTCTGTCTGTTAATTTCCTATATCCAGTAGTTTCGGGTTGAATGTCAGGTGGGTCATTTCGGGTTTCGTTTCTTTTGTTAATGACTTGTTCTTTCTGTAATGCCGTTTTGTCGTGTATCGTTTTGTATAAATTTGCCATAATTTCTTTATGTTCGTTTAGCTGGTGATTGATTGGTCGTGAGTCAAGATCGATATCGATCGGATCTTTGAGCTCTAGATGTCCTAGTATTAAGTCAATGGGTTTCTGTTTGGTTACCGAATGAATTGAATTATTATATCCTAAAACTGAAAAGGTGAGTTTTTCGAAAGGGTTCAAGTTTGGTTTTGTCAAGGTCAGGGTACGCATGTGTTCTAGTATAGTGGAATGAAATCGTTCAACAATGGAATTGCTATTAGGGTTGAGAGGGAGAGTGTAGTGCCAATTTATGTTGTATATTTTTGCAAAGTCTCTAAGAAGGTGTTGTGTAAATTCAGTGCCATTATCAGATATGATATTTTCTGGAATTTTATATGTTGAGATGAATTGTAATAATTTTTCATAAACAAATAGAGCAGAAAGACTAGGAATTATGTAAGCCTGTCCAAAACGGGAAAAGCTATCACAAATAGTCAAAGATATCGAATTGCCAAATTTAAAGGTGTCAATATGAATTGTTTCAAATGGTTTTTTCGGAGTAGGCGTAAGTTGAAGTTTGATCAAAGGTGGATGTCTTTCATATTTGACTTGTTGACAGATGTTACAATTATTTATGAATTTTTGAACATCTTCGCTCATTTTTGGCCAATAATATTGGGTTTTGAGCTGATTGACGGTTTCCAGAATTATTCCACGGTGATTAGTGATACCTTCGTGTTGACTTTTGATTAATTCTTGTTGTCTCTTAGTTCTGCTTATATCGTGAAGAAGTTTGTTAGATTTCAGGAATTTATACGAGGAGTTCTTGAATATTTGTGGAACAAGTCTGCACATTTGTTTGAAAAATTCATCATTATCGTCGTTTTGGAAGTAAAATGCGTATTGTCTAGTTGGTCCGGCATATTGTTTTATAAACTGAATAATTTGTTCTTCGAAGGACTCGTTAGTAACATATAAATACCAACGAGTACGACTAACAGGATTTTCAAATATTTTCTTGATTTCTGTTCGCGAATTTCTATCTACTTTGATTATGATTATTTGATAAAGGAAATAATTAAGTGGTTTTTCTGAAATTTTGATTGTCAAAATTGGATCTTCGGCACTCGTGTGTACTGTTTCGTTTCCGTCGTTTTCGTCAGGGTCAAATTGTGCAATAATAGATTGATTGTCAGGTTCTCTGCTAGTTGAAGGTTGATTTTGATTAGTTTCGGTTTCGGGAATTATGATAGGGTTTTCGTCTAAGACAGGATTTTCGTTGAATTGTCTAATGTATTGGAGAATTGGAAGGTCATCGTCAGAATTATTTGTGTCAATTTCGGTGGGATAAATTTCGACTCGTGACAAAGCGTCTGCGTTAGTATTTTTCTTTCCTTTCTTGTATACAATTTTGTAGTCAAATTCCTCCAACTTTAGTCTCCAACGGACCAGACGGGAATTCGGTTCTTTGAGGTTCATAAGCCATTCTAGTGGCTTATGATCTGTAGCAATGATAAATTTTCTGCCAAAAAGATATGGTCGGAATTGTTTGGTTGCCCAAACGATCGCTAGCAGCTCTTTTTCAATAGTCGAATAATTTATTTCCGAACTACTCAGGGTGCGAGATGCATATGAAACAGGTTTATCGTGTCCAATAGGACCTTGTGATAAAACCGCGCCTATTGCAAAATTACTAGCATCTGTGGTGAGAACAAAATCTTGAGAAAAATCAGGGTACTGGAGTATTGGATCATTGGTTAGGAGTGCCTTGCAATCTTCGAAAGTTTTAATGTATAATGGATCATTTACGTTAATTTGAGATCCCTTTTTCAGACATGTAGTAAAAGGTTTAGTTATTTGTGCGAAATTTTTAATGAATTTTCTGTAATACCCGACGAGGCCAAGAAAGCTTTTTATTTCTCTGGTCGTCTTTGGTATCGGATAATTTAGAATAGCTTTAATTTTGTTGGGATTGGGTTTTATTCCATCAGGAGTGATAATATGCCCAAGAAAAGCAACTTCTTTATGCAGGAATTCTGATTTGTCAAGTTGGATTTTTAAATTGCTATCACGTAGCTTTTGGAACACTTGTTTCAAATTTACAATGTGTTCTTGCAGTGAAGCTGAGAACACAATAATGTCGTCCATATAGACGAGACAGGATTTATTTTGCAGGTCCTTCAAAACATTGTCCATTACCCTCTGGAACGTTCCGGGTGCGTTCTTTAAGCCGAAAGGCATACGAACGTACTCGTAGTGTCCGTTTTCAACGTTAAATGCGGTTTTCTTAACATCCTCAGGATGCATCTCAATCTGGTGAAAACCACTTGCCAGATCTAACGTTGAAAAGTACTTACATCTGCCCAACTTATCTAATATATCAGTAATATTAGGCAGGGGGTAACGGTCATCTATCGTTTTCTCATTGATTTTTCTGTAATCAACGACAATGCGCCATTTCTTTTTACCTGACGCGTCCGTCTTTTTAGGAACAATCCAAATAGGCGAAGACCATGGGGAATCGCTAGGTCGGATAATTCCTTGGTCGAGCATTTCGTTGATTTGTTTTTCTACTTCGGGTTTGTGTATGAATGGGTAACGGTATGATTTGGAATAAACAGGAATTTCGTCTACGGTTTTGATTCTATGTTTCACTTGATTAGAAAATGTTAATTTAGAGTTTTCTCTGTGAAAAATATCTGAATAGGATCTACAAAGGCTTTGAATGTGATGTTTTTCTTCACTATTCATATGTTCTGTACGAATGAGATTTGTTACATCAAATTTATTCAAGTTTTGTTCTTCATAAGGTGAAATAAAAGCATGAAAAATTTCAAAGTCGTTTCTTTCGAAATGTCTAGCTGAGATCGGAAGGTTAAGTTTGATTTCTTGAACAAAGTCCGTTCTATTTTGGATATCTACAGGGGCGTAACCATTTTTTGCGGTGGTCAAACAAGCGGGTATATGACATTTTGACAAGTTTGTTTCAGGAATAATTATTTCGCCATTTTCTTTATCAACGGGAATTCTAAAAGATTCTGTGGAATACGGTTCAATACGGACAAAGAACAGCAATTTGTTTCTTGGCTCGTACATGTGTAACGAAATTTTGGTTGTGGGAGTTTTGATCAATGAATTTGAAATTTTGATATCTACATTTAAATCTTTCAACGTTTCATAGCCAATAAGGCCATCGAAAAAGTTATGGAACTTGAATAAATAGAATTTGATTTTCTTGTCGCAATTGAATTCGGTAAAGGCTGGTATTTCGGCACATAAGTTTCGCGAGGTAGTTTGAAAAATAGAAGATATTGTGAATGGTTCATTTCTTATAAATTCGGGAAAGTGAATTTCGGCAATTTCTGGGTTTAGGAATGATTTTGTTGCACCAGTATCAATAAGCAATTTTAGAGGTGGATTTGAAATTTCAATATAAGGCAGTTCTTTACGATCGTAAATTGAATTAATTTCTATGTATGGTTTTCTTTTTGCTTGACTATCTGAAAATTTTGTTCTGGGTTCGTATTGTGTTCTAACTGTTTGCATGATTTCTCGGAAATTTCTTCAGAGTCGTGTTCATAGTAATCTACAGCGTATTGAGGGTCATTGTCAGGATAATAGTCGTCATATTCGCATATTTCATATTGTTGAGAAGGTCCGGGAATATCGTAGTCGGGAAGGTAGTTGTAAGGTTCAAGGTTGTGTAGTTCATCTGGCGAAAAATTCGAACGTTGAGGCTGATATGAATTTTGTCGGGGAATTGTGCCATGAGATATGCCACTCATTGGCGTCGGTCTAGGTCGGGAAATTGAATTTTGTTGGTTAGGTCTCCAAACATTAGTTGGGTTTCTTTGTTGACCAAAAACTTGACTGTTTGTTAAAAATCTTTGAGGTTGACTTGGTCTAGATTGAATATTAATAGGTCCACGTGGAAAGTTATGGTATTGATTAAAATTAGGAATATTTTGTTGATTATTACGTGCAAAATTTTGTGGATTGAAATTTGAATTATTATTGAAGTGCGTATTACTATGTTGGAAATTTTGAATTGGTCTCTGAGGTCTATTTCTGGCATGCTGATTATAATTTTCAAATTGATGCGGCTTTTGTAAATGACGGATATTATTTTCCGAAATGATATATTGTCTTGCTTCTGCTAGACTAGTTGGTTTCATGGCTCGAATAGTTGATCCTAGAGGTTCTTTAAGACCGGCAAGAAATATTTTCAAGGCATGAGTATTGTAAAATGTTTTCTTGATATGTTTCGTTTGCGGAACTACTTCATGAGTGTCAATATAATTATGCAGAGCGCTCAAGTTAGACATAACTCTTGTATAATATTGTAAAGAAGGTTCATTATTTTGTTGTCTCAACTGATCTAAATCAAACAAAAGTCCATTTTCGTCTCTTTGGTCTCCGAAATGGGCAACCAAAGCGCTTTTTACGGATTGCCAATCTTTGGCAATGCAAATGCTATAAACTTCTCTAGCTTTACCTATTAATTTGGAATAGATTCCGTAAATAATAGTCGTATTCTGAACACAATTTATGTTAGCGGGATTTGGATCCCAATATGTATTTATGATTGTATTTGCTGTTTCTAAAAATGATGATAATTCCAGCGGATTGCCATCAAATTTTGGAACTATTTCTAATAATTTCGATTCGAAATTTGGAACTGACATAATTGAATCGTTAGGTACTAAATTAGGTGAATTAGTTTGACTTTCAGTATCTTCTACTAGTGATAAAGTTTCAAAAATTGAGCTTATCTCACTATCTAAATTTAAACGTAAATCTAACTCGTTCGCTCTATTTTCTGCAATAGAATCAGGCAGGGACGAGGAGAATGACATAGACAGTAAAAGGAAAGCAACTTACAATACTAGAATGGTGTTGATGGTCTTCATCAGGTACTCGAAGTCTTCAGGGTTTTCCACTGCGGAGGTCCTCTGAATAAACAGCTTGAAAACCGACGGGATTTTCACGATGAATGCCCGTTCAGTATCCTACCGACTGCGCCACTTTATGTTTTTGGTTATCACCAAAAGCTTTTTAAAAAAATGAATTTATTTATTGAACACAAAAATGTCGAAGTTTTATTAGAGAGAAAATTACAATGCGTCTTTACTGTGTGAAGTCTATGTCAAATCTGATGAGAACTAGTCGGTGAACGTCTCGTTTCCTGCAAAGCGTAAACTGATTCTGCATCCGTCAGCGGTCTCAGCATATCCCGTGAGAACATGGTAGCTTATGATGTTCCCATACATAATTATCTTACACTATACAGGGTGTCCGCTAAAAGGAGGTCAATCCATCAACCATATATTCCTTGAACAAAAATAATATGAGTTTCTAAATACCATTTTTCATTTTAGCCCTTCTTATTCGATATACAGGGTGTCAAAGTTGAAAATTAAAAACTGTTTTTTTCTAATTACTCGCGTAATTAATAATATATTAATCTCAAAATAGGTACATTACTTCAGCACAAAGAGTTACATCGTGTGAGGAAAACAAAACAGAAAATAACTGTCAAATATTCAAAATACTGGGGGTCAAGTACACACTTACCCCCATATTTTTTTTGTACGTGCGCTAATGACTTCCTATCTATTTTTCTTCATGTGTTCAATCATTTCTGAGTATTTTTTGATTTAGGTAAAATTCCGATAAAATTATTTGTTTTTAAGATAATTCGAAAATTACTGGTTATTGTTTGATGCCTTGCGGCTTACGGTAATCTCATAATGTTCACATACTCCTATTTATTTCGTCGAAATTGGAAGAGGGCGTATCTTATTACGTACGGAAAGGTGAATATGGAAATACCGGGTGCTCAGAGCGAATGTATGAAAATAATTTTTACACTTTTTAAATTTTTTTTTTTTTCGTAAAAATTATTTTAGTACATTTGCTCCGAGCACCCGGTATTTCCATATTTACATTTTCGTACGTGAAAAGATACGCCCTCTTTCAATTTCGACGAAATAAATAGGAGTATGTGAACATTATGAGATTACCTAAGCCGCATAGGCATCAAACAATAACCAGTACTTTTCGAATTATCTTAAAAACAAATGATTCAATCGAAATTTTACAGGAAACAAAAAATACTCAAAAATGATTGAACACTTGAAGGAAAATAGATAGGAAGTCATCAGCGCACGTACAAACAAAATATGGGGGTAAGTGTGAACTTGACCCCCAGTATCTTGAATATTTGACAGTTATTTTCCGTTTTGTTTTTCTCACACGATGTAACTCTTTGTGCTGAAGTAATGTACCAATTTTGAGATCAATATCTTATCAAATACGCGAGTAATTGGAAAAAAACAATTTTTAATTTCCAACTTTGACACCCTGTATACCGAATATGAAGGGCTAAAATGAAAAATGATATTTAGAAACTCATATTGTTTTTGTTCAAGGAATATGTGGTTAATGGATTGACCTCCTTTTAGCGGACACCCATAACAAATTGTAGAAGTTTTTCAAAGGATATCTGTTGCTTATAGGTTAGTCACCTTTCAGTCTGAGGTTCCTGTCTTCTGAGACTTCTGATTCGTCGCTGAGCACTAGCTCATGCCCTCGGCATTCTGATGGAGGCTTATCGTTCAAGACTGGCTCTACTGTCATTAGTTCAAAGATGTTATTCGTTCTGTTCAGTATCTGAAAATTAGTTTTTTATGTAAATATGAATGAATCGTTTCAGCATTTGTTGATAAACGGCCTGTTCCAGTGAATAATTATTCTTGTTTCATTATTTTGAAGTACCTATATTTAGTTCACTATCGCAAGCCGTTTTCTCCTTAGCTCTACTGTAAATACTTATGGATCAGTAAAACGGTAACGATTAGGTCACAATCCGGGAAAAAAATCAAGTAGTCGGTTTCTCTGTGGGTTTATATGTCATTAGAGGTGCTGAATTGGGATCTGAATTTTGCAAACAAAATTTCCTGGAGCGTTCCGAGATATTAGCAGAAAACAGCGGAATTTTCGCACTTTTTTCGGTTTTTTGCCCGTAACTCGGAAATCATACATTATATCGAAAAGACCGCCCTATGAAAAGTTGAGGTAAATAGAATTTCCTAGATAAAATTGTTCTTGCTCATGAATGGGTGCGGAGATAGAGCCAGTTGAAAATGGACCAAATTTGGGTACTTTTAAAAAAATAGCGTTTCTCGTCGGTTTTCGCTGATAATTCATATTTCACGTATTACTCAGAGACAGAGCATCATTCACTTATTGGAAGAGCATCAAATTTTCTATCAAGCTCATGAAAATTTCGTCATTATGAAAAAAGATGAACGCTCGGACTTTTAGTCGTAGTTGCCACACTCATGTTCACCCTTTCAACTCATATGATTTGGATCATATGAACCTATATTCATACAAGTTCTGAAACGGATAATTAGGTCATTGTTTTGTTTTTGTATTCTGTGGGGTGGGGGATGAAAAAATATTAAAATTCTGTACGCTGGAATTATAGTTGTTATAATTGCGATAAATTAATTCCAAATGCTATTCTTTGAACATTTTGATAAAAAACTGATAAACTATTCAAACTATCAAAACTACCTATTTTGTGATGAATAAGTATTAGAATCAATTCTCGCTCATGTGGGTTTCAAGGCGTCAAGGGAATGAGGCAGCTGATCGCCTAGAAAAAAAAAAGGCAGAGCTCACATTTTACCTTTCTGTGAGAAAAGCAAATGTCACCTTATCACAGAGCTCAGAAAATGAGAATGACGTGAAAAATCCTACTACTGTTGAGCAACTCCAAGTAAACGAGAAGGAGATAGTTCTTCAACAATTTGAAAGCTATCAGCAAACAAGAGGCAGGTAAGAAATACAATATTCTTCCTAGTTGATGTGAATACGTCGAGAGTCATGAGTTACATGCTGTCAGAGGCTCAGAGGAAAGAATTCACATAATAGGACTCGTTACGTAACAAGTCCGGAAAATACTGCTTTTTTGGACGAGTAGACAAAATTCTAGGCATAGCCGTAGGCGAGTCCTGGAAGCCAAAAAAAATTTTTGGACATTTTGCGTACACAATTTTTTCAGCAACCATATGTAGAATAACAATTCAATGAGACACATTTCCATATTATATTTCTTTGTGGAATACAATTCCTTCTTTATCAATTCTTATTTGTATCAAATACTAAAATTTGAACAGAATACCTATACCTACTAACTCTGCTACTTTGGAAATTTCGTATGTACATTTCCAAACTCACTATCGCTGCTGCTTTCGATAGTATATTGCGATAATTGCAACCAAACTTTCAAAAATCCAAATGTCAACTAATTTCATGTCAAATAGCTGTCAGCCGATATTTCGCTGCTATGGTAATTATCATCTGCATTTATCAAAACCTTATCTACCAAGATTTTCATAGTTACAGTGACAACAACGATACTTCCTGGTCTAGTCCGGGAAGTACAAATGTTACTTTCTCGAAAAAAAAGGGAACTGAGCACTTCTCGGACGGTTGCCGAAAGAAGTTATTTCAAGGAATAAAAACGTGAAATTCAGGTAGTGCAACATCACTCACTATTTCGTTCTAGTAAAAATGGCTCATCCTGTATATCCTGATCAGAATAATGGAACTAAATTTCTTAATTATTCTATTGTAATTGATTATTAAGAAATATCGTCATCGACATCTAGCGTTTTTGGAAGGTGATTATTTCCATTATTGGAAAAATTATGTATGCGATGATTTTGAATAATGAATCAAATACTATACTTATTGTCAATCATGTAACTATCGATGTAAAATAAATACCTATGTGGCATAAATTGGACTAGTGTAAACAACCTCATTTTTTTCTGGCATACAAAGGACTCAGACATCGATGATTATTTTATTATTTCTATTATACACTCAGTTCCAAAAAAAGTGACGTACTTGATATTTGACCTATCTTCTTAAAAAAAAAAAAATAGTAGGCCGATTTTCATTTTTTTTATTTGTTGGTAGGTAATGCATTTGTCTTTAAAAAAAAATGAAGAGGTGAACATTTTTTCAAAGCCTCCTTGATGTTGGTGGAATAACTCGAACCATGATTTATTCTTAATTTTTGACTCACCCTGTGTGTTAATTGAGTAATGGCATAGAAAGTGCTTACACCCTATACGAAAGAGGCTTCTTTTGCGAGCATTTTGTTTTTTTATTCATTAATTCATCTCTAAAATTTCCCGAATTACAGCTTTTTTTGCTGAATCCTTGCAGATTACCAACTTTCTGAATTTATCGACAAACAATTTTCTAATGGAATAAACTTATACCAATAACTTCAAAAAACATTTTTATTAAACACAAAATTATAAATTGGGATGACTGCTTAATACCGTGTATTGCCTCCTCTAGCAACTCTAAGAACTTCTAATCTACGAGGCATACTGGAAATTAAGTTGCTTATCGTTTCCATTGGTATACGATCCCATTCTTCCACTAATGCATCTGCCATTTCTGCGAGTCTTTGCGGAGACCTCTCGCGAGAACGTACCCTTCTCCCTAATTCATCCCACAAATGTTCAATAGGATTCATATCGGGGCATCTCGCAAGCCATTGTAATGTGGTAATACCAGTAGCTTCTAAGAAGTTTCGCACTATTGCTGTGGTGTGTGGTCGGGCGTTATCCTGCATCAATATAAAATTATTGCTTACTAACTCTGCATAAGGTAAGACATACTGCTCTGAAATGTCAATGTAAATTTGGGCATTCATCGACTGCCTCACCGGAAAAACATGAAGGGGTGTCTTTCCATCCATTGAAATCCCTCCGCACACCATAACGGACCCACCATTAAAACTTTTGCATTCTGTTATTAAATTTTGATTAAACCGTTCACCAGTTCTTCACAACACTCTTTTTCTTCCATCCACCATGTCAAGGCAAAACCTTGACTCATCCGTAAACAACATTCGACCATTCAGTAATATTCCACTGTCCATAATTTTCAACAAAATTTCTTCTAGCAGCACGATGTTCGGGCAATAATTTGGGACCTTTTGCAGGTCTCCTAGCTTTCAAATTAACTTCTTTTAGACGTCTACATACTGTCTGCTTACTTACTGCAACATCACGAATTTGGCGAAGATCTTGCTGAACATTTACCGCAGTATTTGATCGATTCCGTAAAATCCGCAATCTCAAGAAGCGATCATCTCTTGGAGAAGTTTTTCGGGGGCGACCAGAACCGACCCTCCGAGCGGTGTTTCCTATTTTTTCGTACTTGCGGATTGCTCTACGACCCAGATAACACAGGATATCCTATGGATATCCTTCTCAAGTCCATTTCAGGTCGGGATATCCTGGAACATGAAATGGATATCCATAGGATATCCGTCAGAGGATATCAAATGGATATTCTGATGCGGATCACCTATGGACGTCCATAAGATGTTCGTTTAGCGAACAAAAATTGTTAATTGAGAATGGTTCAAAACAATACGAATCATCACAAATATCACATGCAAATCACATGTTTATTAGAAATTCAAAGGTAGTTTTCCATCATATAACTATTGTTATGTAGGTATAATATAGTAGAGTTTAAACGGGATCCTATCGTGCTATCCCGTGGGCACTTTGTTGCTAAAATGTAAAACCCATTTTTTATCATTCCTAAGACCTTTGCAATGCAAAATCACTTGGTCGTCCAAAAATCGTAGTTGGAGGGGAGTGGGGGGAGCCTTTTTTAAAAAAAAAGCCAATTTTTTTTTTCATCGGTTTTCAGATCTAAGATGTGAGATAATTCATTCCTCAAATTTGCATACCCATCCGGATATCAGAAATATTTTTTTTTAATTTATAAAAATACGTCGCAGCATTGTTGTATATGGAGTGCCTTCACACAAAACCGCTTGCCCTGGACACCCATATTTTTAAAATCATTTAACTCGCTCTACCTCGAAAAGTATTGGGTCTAGCAAAAAAAGACTTTCTATAAACGTTATAGACCAAACATCAGAGAACATGTTGGTTTTTTTAGAATTTTGATTGGATAATTGGTTCACGAGGAATTTGAAAAATCGAACGGCATGTCGCGACGAACGGCGGCTAGCGCAGAGATACGGGGAAGGGCGAGATTGCTATGCCTGTGTCAACCGAAAATCCACTCTACTGAGGGCGATGTTGATACGGTCGATTTTACCGTGAATTCACTGTTTTGTTGTAAATTCGAATGCATTGTTCTGGTAGCGCTGATTCTACTGAGATTACTAGTGATGAGTGATAAAGTTCTTGTCTATAAATCATATTATTAAAAGCGAATAATACTTATTGCTAAGTTAACAATATTTAGAACTTACTTAGTGAGTATTAGGTACAGTTAGTATTTTTTTGTATCCTCTAGAAATGGATTTAACGATCAGCAGCAGCTCTGACAGTGAACTAGAGTCGAAAATCAAATTAAGACTTGCTTCTTTTCGTAAAACTGTCAATGGACAAGACGTTTTTATTCAAAATGTGTGTCTTATTTGTTTGGAAGGAGGAAAGCTGGTTATCTCTCATGAAAAATCAAAAAAAAAATTCATTGAATTCACGAAAGAACGTATGACAAATTGTCATGATGACAAATATATGCGGCATATATTCTCAAAGTTTGATGAATTAGAAAATCAAAGTTTTTTAAAATGGCACAAAAACCGT